CAAAAAGTTTTATCAAAATTAAACTTTTTTAGGTATATTGAACGTTTTCAAAAAAGTGCAAAAAAAATCATTTCTGACACCCCTAGGCTTAGTACGTCAATATAATTCACCAAAACCATACTGCAGTCCTTCAATTATCATACAGGGAAATTTTCATCTTTCTAAACATCCCAACGAAAGATTTGACAGGTTCTTTAAGAATGAGTAAAATTATTAGGCAATACGCAAAAAAACGTTGAAAACTTGTTTTTTGTGTGACAAATTTACATTATAACTAGAGGTGTTCATAATTGATTTAAATATTTGAAGACAAGCTCATATATACTTTTTTGAAAACAATCGTTTCGTTTTAAAAACGAATAAGAAAAAAACGAGTTTTAAAAAAACAACATTATTTTCAAAGAAGATCGTTTAAAAAAAATAGTTTTTTGTTTTTCAACGAATGTTAACGACGTCCCTTCATTAACGACCGTTAACGACGAACCTTCATTGACGATCGTTAATGACCTTTTAAAGAGAAAATACATTTTTTGGTCGGAAAATCCCAGGTCAGAAAACATTCAGGCTAAAAAAAAAAATGTAAATCATCATTCATAATTTATCTTCCTGAAAAGAATTAAATTAGCTGTCAGAAAACTCAGATTTATTAAAGCCAATTTTTTTTTAAACAAATGTTTTCAAAAACGATCGTTTTCCGTTTTTTAAAAGCTTAAAACGGGTGTTTAGCTTTTTTAAACGATAGTTTTTTCTAAAAATAATAACTACAATTAAAAAAAATATTAACGAAACGAAAACGATCGTTTTTCCGGTCGTTTTTAATAACGATTAACAACCCTACCTGTAGTTACTGTGCAAACTTGGTGGAGGTTTAGTGAAATCAAACTCTGAGACACTGAGTGGAACTCCGCCCCCCGCCTCTGGTTTGGCGGAGCTCGCTTTAGAAGTTCCGCCATTGGTAGATTTAGCGGCATTAGTCTTACTCTCCACTTTTCCAGACGTTTTAGTATTCGCCTATAAATATGTTGTTTAAAATTCGTTTCTTATTATTCATTGGACTCTTGCATAATGAAATATTCTAAAACAATGATTTTAACTTGTTTTGTTATTATTTTCTAATTTTTAAAAATCACGCCTAATCATTCCTTTTTATAATATGAATTTCTTATTTTGATCTTTTTCTCCAAAATCATGGTTATCATTATCCACTATGATTTGATATTCCTAAGTTAAGTTGTCTTTTTTTAAGTTCATTCTTTTAAACTTTCCAGATCTTTTTAATGCAGCAATAGTTAATGGTCAATTTTTAAATGGTTTTTGAAAAATTAAAGGGAAAAAAGGTTAGCCATTTCTTTGTAATGTTTTCTTAACTTTATTTCCCAGAAATTAATGTATTTGCCATCAAACTCGCAAAATCACTAACTGTCAAATGTTATTTCAGTAGTTTCTTTTACTTCAATTTAACTTTCTATCTGTTTACTTTTTCTTTTATAAACGATTTGAAGATATTGATACATAACACCCCTGACAATGCTATTTAGTATTTAGGCCTAACCTGGACAATGACAGGACTCGGCGTCTTGAACATTACACGTTTCTGTTTTTCCTCGTCTTCCTTTTCTTCATCTTGATCAGGAACAGAAATAGTGTTGGCGCGCAAAATGGCCGCCATCGCTACATTTTGCCGTGCTCTGAACAAATTCTATTCTATAACAAATTTATCCCAAAATATCGCGTTAAAAGTAAGGAAATTCCCAAACAAAAAAGAAAAATTGAGAAACTTTTTTTTTTGCTCCATTACGTTTAAAAATGACATAAAGAGGTTCATTACACGAATAAGAAGGACGAAGCGCCATGCAAACTTAAAGCCTTGTAAGCTTCTTTACCTATATCTGGGTGCACTTGCAACAGTTCCTGGATCTTGGACCGCAGGTTTGGATTTAAGGATCCCCTTGGACCCACTGCTATTCTGGAAAAGAAATCTTTACAACCAGTGATATGAAGGGATGATCAGTATATTGGCTCCTTTTTATCAAAATTATAATGATAATAAATATTTTAAGCTTAAAAAGCATAGTTAAGTGTGTTTAAAGGGACTGTAAAGGAAAAATGAAAGGGGGTATAGGCTGAAAGCTAATCACTTTAGCTCTTGATCGCGACCCATGAAAGTTTTATCTGATGTTCCTGTCTTGAGAAATTGATATAAAACCGTGTTAAAATTATACGAAAATTCATATATGTAAAATTTAGAAAATCTTAACCTTAAATCACGTGACCAGAACTATCACCAATGGCAGAGCAGTATATTGGTTACGTGTCTCCGTCTGTATCACGTGACCACTTTACTGCACTGTCATTGGTGGAACTTCTGGTCAAGTAACAAGGAAGTATAAATAATATTATGAATTAAATCTATAAAAAATAGAAATAACAAATATAAAATTAGAATTGGATTAAACCTAAGTTACAATTCGCTTTCTCTGGGATATCATAGTTTTCAGATTGGTTGCATATTTGCTGAATTTGCTCTATTTAAACCCTCTACTTTTATACAAAATTGTATATATATATATATTAATTTTCGTATAAATTTGAAAAAGTTGTAAATCAATTTCTCGAGATAGGAACATCAGATATAACTTTCATTTGTCGCGATCGAGAGCTAAAGTGATTAGCTTTCAGCCTATACCCCTTTCATTTTTCCTTTACAGTCCCTTTAACTAGAATCATTAAAATTTAGGTCATCATTTTGGACCTCAGTCGACCTAGAGTCCATTTAAGAATCCCTTTAATTAACACAACTTTAACATTATCTCATCATTGGATCCAGGTTTACTCTTCAGGCTGAATCAGAAGAGCTCTTTGATGCACACTGAACACGATAGTCTTACCTGTTCCTCCCATTGTATAGTGTCACTTTCATCTTCATCTTCTTCACTTGAATCATTCTCCCCTTTCTCGGTGTCAAGGGCCTCAGATAAGTCCTCGTCTTCAACATGTTCATGTTCATGTTCATGTTCATGTTCATGTTCATGTTCATGTTCATGTTCATGTTCATGTTCATGTTCATGTTCATGTTCATGTTCATGAATGATTAATATTCTTAATAAACAGCAAACATTATCCAAATAAAATCATACTTTTAACGAACTACTCCTACAATCCAAACTCGATGTGAATTTACAAACTGAAGAAAGAAATAAGGACTTAACAGCTTAGGATGCTTTTCCATGAACTGCAAGGCTATTTATTTACTATTCATTTACTATTTACTATTTAAGATAAATACAATTTCTAAAATATATTTTTAACATCATTACAAGGAACCATTGTTTTCACCTGAATATAATCTCTCTTTAAAGCACTCCATTCTTCTCCATCCTTCTCCAAGAGAAGGTATGGATCTTCGGACAGTTTCTCTCCAATCATTTGGAGTCTATAAAATCTTAGATGAGCTAACTCATCCTTGTCATAGATCTGGCCTGAGTTTACTTGCTTGAAGTTCAGGCTAGTAAATGATGCTGCAATTGGCTTAAAGGCTTGAAGGTCATATTCTTCAGGCAAGGGGTAATCTTTTAAAGTATCACAATCATATCCTGAAAATAATAATTATTTAAAACTTTTTTATAAGGAAGTTTGAACGAGGCAAAACCTTTCTGACAGAATCAAAATGTAAGAAATAATAATGCTTTATTTTCCTGTAGAGTGTAGGCAGTCTGGGTTGCCCAAAATCAGGGTTGGCATAAAAAAAAACCAGCCCAAAAAAACAATAAAAAATTCTAATTTTTGTATTTTCTTCAATTTTATAATAATAAAATCTTCTAGAAATAAGGGCTAACTGTATTGATTTTTAGGAGTTTACAGCGCTAAAACTGACACATTTATTTATTTCCTAGGACTTAAACCAATGATAAGCTTGACAAAATGAATATTGAGTTATTTCAAAAAAATATTTAATTAATCAAAGTAGTCAACTATGTCACTCTATACTTAAAGACGTTTTCTGACTTTAGACCAGACTAACCAACAGTGGTCCTCCTTCTTGAGCATATATATATCTACCGATTAATCTGATTAGCCCCACCCCAATCAGAAATATGTATCCACGTGAGAAAATAGAATTAGTCTGAAATTTATAGAACTATAATATCAAAAATTTCAGTACTCTCCCTATGAAGAAGATATTATTGTAATTGAAGAGTATTTATGATCATAACCTATCAACACAACAATCATAGATAAATAAATAAACATAGATAGCATATGTACGCAAAATCACCAAGAATTGTACAGTCCGCGAACTCATACTTCTAGGGGTCAAAGTATACTTCAATGATAAGCGGGGTGGTTTGGTGTTTTAATGGATTTCATAATAGAGTGTAAAATAACTCCGGGAATGGAACTATTTGAACAACAATATTTCACTGAGCAATATATCATATTGACGAGAACTGAAGAAGGACATGAGAAAGACTTAACTAACTTAAATTTCTCTCTACAGAACTCATGTACACCACAAGTACTCAATGACATAAGAACCGCCAATGTTCACAACCGACCTAGTTAATCTATATAAAAGGAATATCTTTAAAACATCTCTGTACATTTATATCTTTCAAGATGAAAAATGTCGTCTTATGCGCAATCTATCTTTATCTATGACAAAAATATTATTATTTTTCCTATTTTTAAAGTTCACCTATTGCTTAAACAGTCGTATTACTATGAATTTATTACTATGAATTTTTTAATTAATCTTTTTATATTTTATTTTTTAGAAACGTTTTTTACGGATTTTGAAAAATGTGATTGGTACGCGGCATTCTTTGATAGTTGCGTAAGCGACAAGCGAAACAATCAAATTCAAAACAAATTATTTAAAAAATATTATAAAATATAAACTATATACAAATGTGGCGAAAGATAATCGATGACTATAGGTTGTTATATCTGAATGATTTGTTTGAAATGAAATTGATTTTTTACGGTCTACGGAAAATTAGTCTAGTCCTATAGAAGCTGATGTATAAGCAATAAGAATCAATGGATAAATTTATAGAAATAGACAATTTTCAAGCCACATTTTTGATCAGATTAAGGTTTCAAGGGAGTCGTTGTAAATCGGGTATTGCCATCTTTTTAAGAATCTTTAAGAATCTTTATGATTCTTTAAGAAACTAAATAAAACTTTCAAATGATACTCCGCTACTACCATTTAAACTGCCAAATAAAGATAATAGTGCTAGTGATAGATCTAGATTAAGAATGCTTAAATACTTACCAGGTAGAAGAATTTGAACCTCATTGAGAAGTCTTGCTAAGCTTGGCCAGATCTGTGGACGGCTGGTAAACCCCTTCTCTCTATTGAGTTGAGAATATCAAACATTGAAAATACAGAAGACACAAAAATAGACACATAACTTGTAGATACTGTAACAATACAACAAAATATCAAATAAAAACAAGAGAATTAATTCATTTGAAGAACAGCTGTTCGTTATTCTCCCTTAGAACTTCAGGGTGAAGTAGAATCCATTCCAGAAGGATTCTCACTGCGGGCAGAGCAAAGTAATCTACCAAGTCATCTCCCTTCTTGACTGTGTAAACTGGTAAAAGAGAGGAGGACAGAACTGCAGCTTGCAGGTCAGCACACACAGCCATACTCACCTTTTCCTCCCTAGATAACTGCTCCCGGTCATCAGACACTGAAGCTTGATCCCAAACCCACATATTAATGGAGATCATCTAATAAAGACAAATTCCAAGCTTGACAAATATTTTTACTTTTACAAGAGATATTGTAAATGAGGCTTACAGTCATTTCCTCTAATACAAAAAAAGGACCTTGCTTGTATCTCTGTTGATCATAAATCCAATTTCTAACCCCCCTCTCCCGCATTAGTGGTCTTTACCAAAACTCCTCTCGGAGAAACTCCAAACCAAAGCAAGTCTCTGCTCAAATCTATCTGTACTCTCCAAAAAAACAAACAACTAATAGAGAAACGTTTTACTAAGTGAAGGATCAAATCCATAAATAACTTTGCAATCCACTTAAACAACCGGGTTTATATTTTCAGAAGTATTTACAAATGCTTTAAACTATTCCATCAAACCCTTAGATCTTTAATCCGCCGTATCACTCCAACACAAAAAACTACTAAGATATATTATTAATTAGGCAACTACATTTATACATTTTCATTTATTTTTACTATACCTGCATTTTATTGCAGGTTTAAATAATGTATTGTGTATGTTTGCAAATACTATGTCTGAGTTAAGGGCATTAGTCAACAAGTCCACGAATCAACCTATCAATTAATCACTGACGCCTGTCTATTGTTTTACAATCTCATATAGCAGGCTAGTTGCTACATTTTTTGAATTCAATGCGTTCAAAGTTTGCAACTTGCCTGATAAATGATATCCATACAAGGTTCTTTTTTTGTATTAAATGAAATGACTGTAAGTCTCATTTGAAATATCTCTTGTGAAAGAAAAAATAGCTTTACTTTAAGAACAGGCTAATGTTAAAAAGGAAAAAAACCCAACCAAGATTTTTTTCATGAGTACATAGACAAAGAAGTATTTAGTGCTGGATATGTCCCTGAAGTAACTGCCAGGTAGAAAGTGAGTCCGTAGCTATAAGAGAAGTTAAAGAGTCTGTAAGAAGTCTACAGAACTTGACACACATGCTGAGATGTACACTATGCTGAAGTAACCCATGGACTCGCAGGAAGAGTGGGATAAATGTATGCTGGGTAACCTTAGCTGTTCGTTCTCTAATATCATCACCACTGTTAGATCAAAATATAGATTTTAACCCTATCTCTGCTGGGGTACTTGAAAACCAGGATATGCTGGGGGGGGGGTCAATTTGACCCCCCCCCTCTAAATCCCATGTTTTATGTCCAAATATGACAAATGATACATCATTGGAAAGCTCTTGTGCTCTGCTTTTAGAATCTGCAAAAAAAATTGCAAATTTGCAAAAATTGAATTTTTTATCGCAAAATACAGTTATATAGTAAAAATGTTTGCAAAAAAAATTTGTCCAAAAAATAAAAAATTATACATTTTTGAAAAGCCCTTGACCATGCCATTTCAAATATGCAAAAATATTTGCAAAATTTTAAATAACCTGATTTTTAATCAAGAAAAACTAAAAATGTCCAAATTTCCTTTGACAGGTTGTTTGCAAAAAATTTGCAATTTTTTTCGCAAAACTTGTGCAATTCGTTTCCTTATGTCAAAGACTTTCCAAAAAGCTAAATTTGATCAAAATCTGACAAGTGGAAGTGGGTCAAAACAAAGATTTAGTTTGTTACAGGAAAAAACAGTAATTCAGGCAGTGTGCCTGAGGACTCAGGCAGTTAGTATTAAAGTCCGGTTTAAGGCCTAAAGGGAGGGCTTTGGGTATGTAGGAAAAAACAGAAAATGTTATGTAAAAAAAAACTACAAGGGGGGTCAAATTGACCCCCCCCCCCCAGCAGGAATAGGGTTAAGGATTTAAGAGGGTCAAAGTTTTGTTTGTGATGGCAATTGTAATATCCACTCCGGAAACTTTTCAGTTGGGAGGGCACATGCATTGAACGTGAGGAAAGAGGTACATCTCTTGCATCAATTATGACACTAGAAATTTATAAAAAGTAAGATGAATCTCACTCATACCATGTCTCAAATTGAGGCGGAAACCAGAAAGGAACTGTTGAAATGCTGAAGTCACAGATTTAAGGTCCAATAGTTTTTTCCCCCAAAAGAAATACTAAACTTTGTCTAAAATAAGGAGTACTTAAATTAATCTCAACATTATTCTACATATTAACTAAAAATAAGTATTCAGTAATTTCATTATGGGCAAGGATCATGGAAAATGTTATCGAAATGTAGTGGATATGCCTGGGCTCTCTCTCTTCAGCTTCTCCAAGGCCAGCTAGCCGGGAGAGAAGCTTATTCAGATTTATGAAGGCAGCAGGAAATGGAAAGCTTAGACTTACAGCTCTAACATAAAAATAGACTGTGGACAGCTTGTTACTTCGATTTGCTTCTAGGATAGCTATCTGGTTATAAGGTTGCCCACTTGAGGGCGCCATACTTATGGCATGCCTGTAGAATGTCTCTGCTTGTTGGATATTGTTCCTGTACCGAGCTATATCTCCAAGATGAACAAGGCAGTATTGACAGATATAATTGCATGAGGCAGGACTGGGAGGGAATACTTCTTCCCCAACCAACTTCTCTCCAGTAGTACCATATGGACTACCAGAATGAAGAAATGGAATGGAGAGTGAAAAAGCAAATCGAATCTCCTCTAGAAGAAGGATATAGAACCCAGAAGCGTTCTCAAGGAACCATGAGAGTGTCACTTGAGCACTACCCCTGTCCTTAGCTCTTCTATCCTTACTTTTAACCTGGAGATGAGAAATATAGTTTTTGAAGCAGGAGTTCCAAAGCAGCTGCTCCAGCTTTCTGTCCAAAGCAAAGTCCAGATCAGTGATGATAATCTTTTTCAGGATTTTAGCAAGTTCTTGATGAGTTGACCAAGTCTCAGTATCTCGGTACAATTCCCTGGCAAAATAAGTTTAAGTAAGAAATATTTAGCAAATTATAAAAGCCCAAGATCAGCGTTAAGAATCCATTCAATTTTGATTTATAACTTGATAAAACTTACTTTTTGCCATTTACAGTTTTTGCTAAATCTTCTGCACGCTTAGCAAGTTGCAGGGACTCTAGATTATTAGGAACCTTTCTTCCTTGTTCTTGTTCTTCTTCTTCTTCTTCTCCTTTCATCTCTATCTCTTTTTGGTTACTCCTTTCCAACCGATCTTCTTTCTTCGCTATTCCTATGTTCTTTTCCTCCATAACTAATAAGATAAATGCCATCAAACTTCAAACAGTTTTTTAAAAACAACATGTTTTTTATTTATTGACAAATTTCATTAGAATTAGAAATATATAGAACAGAGGATGTGTATTTGAATTATTTTGTTTTAGAAAACTTAGGAACTAGTGGGCTTAAATTATTCCACTTTTTTCAATTATCATGTAAACCCTGCTTCAGCAGTAAGAATTTTAAAAAACGTTTTTAACAAGAAGCTGACTGAAATAAATGAATAAAATATTTTCTTGGACTTATAAAAAGGTCATTGCTCTGTGTTCTGTGCAGAAGAGGGAAACCTTTAAAATCTAAAAACACATCTCAGTAACAAATCAAACCTTTCAAGTTAAATTTCAGGAATCTCAACCCCTTTTCAATTTTTTTTTAGGTTTTACATTCAACATTTTGAAAAACTTTTTATCACTTGACAATATGATAAGATTTAGGATTTATTGGATTTTTTTTAAAAAGCTTTGAGAATAAAAATTCAACCTTTTAAACTATGATAAACAAAAAAATAGTTAACGGTTTCTTTTAAATATTTAAGCGTAAACAGAACTGAAATTAAAGCATTATATGATTTTTTTAACCATTCAAAAATATCTTCAAATAGAAGAAACCTAATTAGAAACCAGAAACCTATATTTGAAGCTTCGTGAAGAAAATACACGAGCTAAAGAGGCAAAATATGACCTATTAGTTTAAAATCAAAACAAAAACAAGATTTTAATTTCCTAACTGCACCTATATTTTTTCCTCCATTTTTTGCACAGCAATAAATTAAAATAGAACTTTTCTTTCTGGATAAACAAGATAAAATATTTGTGATAACTTATTCAAAAATATGACACGTGGTAATTTGTTATTAGATTGAACTGACCAATAAAGAGAGAATATTTATAAATCCTCATAATTAGAAAATCCGATCGGTCCGGGGAAAATGTAATGAAGAAAGTAAAGACCATTCCAGCATTAAAAAATAGTAATTATTGAAAAATAACTGTATTAAAACAAGGTAGGTAATCCTTATAATACATAGCGGTCATTAACACTGTCTTACCTGTTTAATAATCTTGAATTTAGTCAAAAACGGCTCATTTTTATCTGAAAACCTCACAATTATCCCTAGCTAACAGTGAAACAGCTAACAAGTACATTAATATATGAAACTATGTACATTGTACATAGTTTTCGCTTTACAATTACAAATCTATCTACGCTGTATCAAATATCTATCAAGTATCAATCAAATCACAATTTTTCAGAATATACAGGGTGTCCCACATCATAATGGATCGTTAATGGCTCTAAATTACGATTTACGTCAGAAAATCTAAGAAAAATGAATTGAAAAATTGCATAAGGCTAATTCCCTTGCAGAAAATAATAGGTTTTTCAAAAATTATGTGCGTAATTTGGCGTTAACCCTTGGAAAAAATCCAATATGATATGGTATACTCTGTATAACACAGTACAGTATAGTTACTTTACATAGGGCTGGTCACGTTTTTTCAATCCGTTTGTTTAAAGTTAAAGTAACTGTGTTAACTGTTCGTTAAAAAACTATTGGTTACAACTGGTTCAGCTCGTTAACGAAAAATGTCCGTTAATTTGTTAATTTAGATACACCGGTTCGTTCACAGAACTTTTACCAGCCTAATTGTAAACAACATACAGTAACCAGAACATATTTTTACTCATTGAGTACAATGTAAAATAACCTTCTATAGTGTACTACAGCTATCATACATTGCACCAGTACATAGAGTCCACTGTTTACACAACAATATAACAATCCAGCACAGTGTTTTTTACAAAAAGTACAATGTGAACCATCGAATTATTTGGAAGTTTACATGACTAGGTGAGATTAATATAAGGATAATTTTCAGACTATAGTGCACAATGCCCAATTCACAAGTTTGTAACGTTTTATTTTTTTCTGGTTTTAAGTTTTCCGCAATAAAAAATGTTTAAGTCATAATTTAGCACTATTGAACAAAAACAAGATTGCCATAGGAGCCAACTAAGCGCCAAAAGACTTAAAGAAAAATAACATTGAAAAGACATTTTTAGTTTTAACCTTTGAAATTTCCATTGTCGAAACATATCTACAGATTCAAATATTATTTAGTGAATCGGTCACATATCTACAGATACAATTATTATTTAGTGAAACGGTCTAGAACTAACATTGGTACTATCACAGTGCTTCATTTTAAAACAGGGGTAAGTACTAAGTAAGTATATGTACATTCAATCCATGTTTTGATTTAAAAACAAATGGTATTTTCTAAAGTAGACTAGAACTTTTGAATCGAAAATTATTTTCTAAATCGGCGCGCACGCGGTTTTCAAGCTTCTTGGACTGGAATTAATTCCGACTAAAAAATATTAACGTTTGAATTTTAAAGAGGTTATTCCATATAAAACCCTTTTCAACAAATTTATATATATAAACATAGATATATACCCCTGTTCATACAATTACAAGAAAGCTGGTGGATTAAAACTTGTGAAAACACTAAACTGATTTTAAAGGGACTGTCAACGTAATTTCAAGTGGCAACTTGATGAAAATGCCCGATTTTCAACGGTTCCCTTGAAAGCATTGTCTGATCAAGTATGAATTATATATCAATGTTTTTGTTTCTTTAATCTGTTTATTTTCAGTTGCGGTTTCTCTACGAAAGTTACTGGCGCATTTCTTGTTTATGAGAGGCAATGGAAATTGGAGAAACTCACACAAGAAAAAAACACATTTCGAGTCAGAAAAACTACGGTTTTTCACATTTATTATCAGATTAGGGTTTTCCAGGGTACCGGTGAAAATCGGACATTGCCATCTTTGCAAAGAGGGTTACTTGAAATTAAACTTACAGTCACTTTAAGTACTTTGAACTTTAAAAAAAACTGGTTACTTGCAAAAACGCTTATTTTGTTCACCCCAATATCTTTTCAATCTTAAAGTGTAAAATTTAAACTTTGACTATTTGATCTGACAAAATACAAATTTTAAAATATCAAAAGTACACGATTAAAGGTTGCAAAGATATGAAGCTTAGAATGTTCAGAATTTGAGACGAGTAATAAGTTCTTTTGAACTATTTAACAAACTAAAAATCAACTTTTTAAATGTATAAATTGACAAAATCAGATGAGATCAATAATTTCCAGTTGACCAAAAATCACATAATAATAATAATCATAATAATCAAAATACAGAAAATCACAACATGTAACAAACGATAACAAAACATATACATAACGCTATAATAAAATCTAAGTCATAACAATAAAACAAAATAAAATCTGTGACAGTTTTTCAGTGTCATTGTTAACAACATAAAAATTTTTTTTTTTTTTTTTAAGAAAAGTCAAGAAAATCAATATTTGAATTAAAAATTTTCATCTGCAAAAAATACTTTTTTTTATTTCACAATTACATTTGTTTTGATTAAAGTTTCTTATAAATAATTGTGAAGGGAAAATGCCCCCTAATTACATATATGTTACATAATGGTAACCTTGTAATTAATGAATGGATATACATACAACCAGGTAGATATCTATTACATAATAATGATAATAATAATGATATTAACTGCAATATTTCTAAGAATTGCAGTATAAATCATTATACTACTAGTACTACTACTATATTGTACACAGTATGGTCCCAAAACAATTCTTATTAAAAATAGTATTATTGCACTTTAATATGTTAGGTATAGAATGTACATCTTGATAATGGTTGATTTTGCTCTTTTCCATTCCGGGGGAATAGAAGATTTATTTGATATAAAAACCAGTTTTAGATAAGACGTTTTCTCATGAAAAATAATGATAGAAGTAAAACTATTTGCTAACCAAACTAAACAAATATGATAATAACTTAATTTATGAATAAGTAAACAAAAAATTAAGATATTCATTTGACCCCAAAAAATATTCGAGCAATTTTTGTATTTCTAACTTCTTCAGCTTTTAAACTATCTTGCTATTTTTAATCAAGGGTTTATATAAAAAAAAAATTTATTTGAAAAACTTGTTTTCTGGAAGTTGTAAAAAATAATAAACTAAAAAATTTTTCAGATTGACATATTAACTTAAGTACTAAGGGTGCTGGAATTGATAGGTCAAATTAAAAAAGGCACCAATAAAATTACGGCTAAGGAAGACGACATTTAAGCTAACTTGTGTGTATTTGCAGGTAAAGCAAATTTTAAACTACAGAGTGTCCCACATGATATTTGACCGTCAATGGGTCTAAATTACCATTTTCGGGGGAAACAAAACTAAATAAGGCTAAAATAACAATTTTCTTGCAAAAAATGCTAGATTTTTTTGTAATATGTGTTTATTTTGACGTCTAAGCTTGGAGATAATCTATTATGATATGGGACGAACTGTAGTAGCTTGACTAATTAGGTGAAATTGATCTGTGTACACTGCACATTTGCTGTGTTTCATGTTTGTTGAACTATTTAAAAAATAGCCTGCGTCTAAACTTCGTCTTCTTACTCCACAGTTTTATGATTCCCACTGTAACATACTCATCTACAAGGAACAGAGAAGGAACCAAAAACAAAAATTTTCACAATCTTCTTCGCTCATAAAAAACCTAAAAATTTTAGACTTATTTACGAATCAAGCAAATAATATTTACGAAAAACTAACCCTGGCTATGAGGACTGCAGCGCAGGCAAGAATCGGAAGGGTAAGACTAGCTTTGCGGTCAAACCAACCACTCTCACGGGTCACAACCATCTAGAGTAATTGTAATAATAATACCCAATCAACCTTAATTCCGTAATAATCAAGGTTGAGCTACCGGTCATTAAAAATAAAAGCAAAATGATGGATATTAATCTACCAGTTAAATAAATGCCACAAGCCTAGTATTGAAGAGTGTGCAGTTGGATTGTGACGTAGTCATCGGGATAGCCCTCGCCCTGTTGCCGTTGGTGCTCACTAGATTTGTGTCGATTATTAACTGGAAATCAATTTCCATCTTTGGCGGTTATTTTTGAAAAGGGCTCTGACTAGACCCAGATTTCTACGAAACTAAGCTTTTGAGTGCTTTGCCCCCATCTACTATTTCAATTTTTTGTGGCTCTATTTGTGAACTTTTTTTCTCTTTGTACAATATAAAACAACAACAAAAAATTTACCGATTAAATTTTATATTTTGGCGGATTTTCTAAATTTATCAAAAATCAAAAAATGTTGGGAGACAATCTTTTTATTTTTTAGCAACTGATTGCAGCTGTACACTTTCAGCTTGGTTCAGTCCATCTAAGTACAAGAATGGTTTGATAAAACCTTAATTTTCTTAATTCAGAAACAAGCCTATCACCCTCAGTTGAGCTTACGGTGTGTACTGCAGTAATCTGCAGTACACTGACCGAAGATAAAGTAGAGTTAAGCAGAAAGTGGTTTACTATACTAGTTACTAAAAACAACTAAGATGTTAATTAAAAAACCTATTTTATAAAAAAAATTATCTTCGTGCCTTTTATTAGATACTTTTCGGATAAATTAGACCAATGATTAAAAAATATATTTACAGTGAGACACAGAAAAGTGTGGAAGAGGAAGACGACATTAAAGCAATAGTTAAGTGTATTTGATGTTGTTACAAAGCAACTAATTTTACTAGACACTTATTAAATCATACATTATGTGAAATTGGTCTGTTGTGTCTCATGTTCATTTGAGTATGTAAATTTTTAAGTCACTAGTCTTGAAGTCGTCTTCCTATTTCTGAGTTTTAAGATTCTCACTGTACCCTTCAATACTGACTACTGATCCCTCCTATACCTGGAGTAGGTACTCGATAGTGTTGAGACGATTTGTCATCTGCGCCATGTTCAATTCTAACCCAGAGACACGTGCAGTCACGTGATCCAACCCTGCAGATAATAATAATGATCACGATAACAACAATATACAACAATATACTAACAACGACAACGACAACGACAACGACAACGAGAAAACGACAACGAACAACGACAACGACAACGACAACGACAACGAAAACGAAAACGACAACGACAACGACAACGACAACGACAACGACAACGACAACGCTATTCTATGAGAACAGGAGAAAATATCTCAAAAAATTGTTATTCTTACTTTATACGGTCCTATCTATCCTCCTACTATCTATCTACTCCTGTGATTTACTACCTGTGATCATATGACCAAGGTTTGTGTTGACCCTCTCTAGCTCATGGTTCAGATGATCCACTATACCCTCCAGGAACCTAGGGATAGCATTACTAGATACCGAACCGAACCTGGAAACTCTTGTATTGTGGTATCGAGATCAATGTTCGATCTCATCTTTTTGTCAATCTGCAAATTAATTTTAAGTATAAGTTCGCAGAATCAGAACAGCCAATTAGAAGCCGGGAAATTTTGCGAGCAATCACCGCGAGAAATTTCATTGGTCGGAACCCAGGAAAAGTATCCACAGTGGATATTCAGATTAAGCGAAAGGGAGTAAGAGACAGGCATATATAACACTAAAGTTTCCAGTTCAGGGAACAATTATTCCCAAGAATGCACTAGGTTTGTGAAAACCTGCCAATGTTAACGGACACAGGTGTTTTGTTCTCATAATGGAAAAAAATATTTTCTGTTTGTTTCATGGGGTATATCAAAAAAGGGTTGTAATCACTTTTTTAATCCCCCAACCCCCTTTAATAAGCAAAATAACCCTTTAAGCTCTACGAACCTGTCTGTTTCCGTCTCGCTCCTCCGGACTGGAGACTCCTCCTCCCTTGGTTCGGAGTTAATGACGAGGATCTCGTCCTCGTCCAACTCGTCCTTCAGGGACACCGACACTACCTTCTCAGAGCTCCCACTCCTATATGCACATGGAGGACAGGGTTAAGAGAGTTTATTTAATAATAATTAATATTAACAATAATAGTAATCGTAATCATAATCATAATCATAATCATAGTCATAATCATAATCATAATCATAATCATAATCATAATCATAATCATAATCATAATCATAATCATAATCATAATCATAATCATAATCATAATCATAATCATAATCATAATCATAATCATAATCATAATCATAATCATAATCATAATCATGATCATGATCATGATCATGATCATAATCAGAATCATCAGAATCATCAGAATCATCAGAATCATCAGAATCATCAGAATCAGAATCAGAATCAGAATAGAATCATAATCATAATCATAATCATAATCATAATCATAATCATAATCATAATCATAATCATAATCATAATCATAATCATAAATCAAACCATAATCATAATCATAATCATAATCATAATCATAATCATAATCATAATCGTAATAGTAATCGTAATAGTAATCATAATAGTAATCATAATAGTAATCATAATAGTAATCATAATAGTAATCATAATAGTAATCATAATCAAAATCACAAATCGCATATCGCATATCGCAAATTGCAAATCGCATATTGATAATGTGAATAATAAATGATGAATGATGGATGACAACGACAACACGACAACACGACAACAAGACTAAGACAACACCAGTGCCAATGCCAATGCCAATGCTAATGCCAAATGCCAAATGCCAAATGCCAAATGCATTGCAAACCATACTGATAATGACAGTACGTGATAATAAAAATGCCACTTATAATGATAATAATAATAAAACTAACTAAAAGAAAATGAAAAACAATAACAAATAAGAAGAAGACAAAATAATAACCTGAATTTGTTAAATGACTCTGGAGACCCGACCAGACTGTTGAGGAATCCCTCACTGTAAATATACTCGGAGGTGATTTTTATCTCAGGGATCACGTGATTTTCACTTCCTTTCACGTGACCCTCACTTCCCTTCACGTGACCTTCACTACCCTTCCCGAACTCGTAGCCCTTCCTCACACTCCCCTCAATCTGCCATCACAGGAATATATTAGAAATACAAATATTTGTTTCACCAAATGTGATATTAACTAGTATTTTAAAAAAAACTAATTAAAATTATTTTTTTTCTTGAGAAAAATGTAAAAAAATTAAAAAGCAAAATACATAAAAAATTGGTGTAAGCAGGTCGTTATGTATTTGTCATGTAAATGCAAATTTTTATGTCCTTTACCTTAATTTCATCATTACTATGTACACTTCTTGTATATGTATCAGTGCAGCGCGCAGTAGTCGCCTCTAATGCCGCGGTTGACTCTACAGAATCCTCAAAAATATCCTCCGAATCCGAGTCTGAACCTTCCTGAAAATAAATCAAATGAATTTAAAAAAATAAGAAATTATTAAATCGTTCAAAAATATATATCACTTTTATTAGAGAAATTGAAATATTAATATAAGAAGACATTTTAAGTATTATCAAGTTTTGCTTCCTGTATCGAAAATTTTACAAAGATTGCATTTAATGATATAAATTTTACCTCTCCTGCTGTTGTGGTAATTTTCTGAACAGATTCACCCCCCACCAATGTTTTAATAGACCCTGATAACTGAACCTCCTTGTCTGTTTGAGTAGACCCTGAGTCTGAACCGATAAAACCATCAAACCTATCCAACATCCTGGACAATAGTTAAACATTCTTAAAAACAAAATCTGACAATTTTTCTGGCCAATAATTTGATATATCAAAATTGCAGACAACTAGTTTGTCGTAAAAAGGACAATTTTAAAGAAAATCTGAGTATTTTCTGGTCCATAATTCTAAATATCAGAAATTGCAGACAACTCTGTTGTCGTAAAAAGGACAATTTTAAAGAAAATCTGAGTATTTATTGGTCCATAAATTGCAGACAACTATGTTGTTGTAAAAAGGACAATTTTAAAGAAAATCTTAGTATTTTCTGGTGCATAATTCTAAATATCAGAAATTGCAGACAACTATGTTGTCGTAAAAAGGACAATTTTAAAGAAAATCTGAGTATTTTCTGGTCCATAATTCGGAATATCAATTATTTTTGTCGCAAAAAGGAAAATTTTTCCATAAATATATAAAGCATATGTTTTTGCTTTAAAAAGAACAAAAAAAACTAATCTCTTTTTTCAAGAATATATTCCTATCGATTTCTTGTTGGGATAATTCACTATAACCGACTTCTGAGGATATCTTAGGAGCCGAGGCTGCTGTTCTTGAGACGGAGGTTGCAACAGGATCAGAGGCTGCTGTTCTCGAGGTTAAAGAAGGATCAGCTGTGCTCTTGATATCTCTCATCATATGAATACTAGACTGTAAGCTCCCCTCTAGTCCTCGTAGCTCATCTAGAAACCGATCCTCCTCCTATTCATTGGAAAAATATATTTGATTTAGTATAGTTTAAGATATGATTGGACAAAGGACATTGAACATGATTAAAATAAAGAAATAACAGCATCGAATGCTTCATTTTCTAATAAACGTACAGCAAAAAGTTTCAAAATTTGTTCTTTAAAATGTTCTGTTAAATATTAATTTGTTTTCTTTAAAAGTAAAATACTTTTTTTGCTCTTTTCCCTTAAATATACGAAAAACCCAAACCAAACCAAACCAAAACCAACCCAAACCAAACCAAACCAAACCAACCCATCCTCAACCCAAATCAGGCGTTTATATAGAGGAAGGTAGAAGTTTAACAAACAGTTCTCTAGGACTAAACAAAGAATAGACAAATGAAAAAATAACTCTCTTTTCTTACAACAACCCTTTCTTACCTGGGTCAAGAATGAATTATGATTCTGATCTAAACCGGCGGCAAAATTTGACGCCAATTTTTCCTCGCACGCCAGATTCTGTGAGAATGTTCCAGCTTCACGCTGTCCCTGGTTTATGATTCTAGAAAAGGTCAGAGTTTTAACGTCTCATATCGTTTAGGATCGTTTATGGCTCTAAATTGCGATTTTCGGGACTAATCAGAAATTTGGAATTTTAAGTTAATCTAACTTAAAAAATTGTATAAGCCTGATATAAAATTTGCATGCAGAAAAAATAGGTTTTTTCGAGTATTACTTCAGCGTTTTTTAATCTTGGAGATAATCCAATAGGCTCAGTATCATTTCGTCTAGTACACTTTCGTCTAATAACATTTGGTCTAGTAACATTTGGTCTAAGAAACATTTCGTCTCAGTAACATTTGGTCTAAGTAATATTTTGTTTAAGTAACATTTCGTCTAAGTAACTTTTAGTAAGTAAATTGGTCTAAAACTACAGAATTGGTTTAAGTAACTTTAAGAAAGGAGTAAGTAACATTTTGTCCAAGTAACTTTTGGTATAAGTAATTTTTAGTAAGGAATTTGGTCTGAAGTACTTGAGTATCATAATTAATCCCGCCATTGAGTTCCTCTCAGTTCAACGTGTTTTAGAAGAGTGGAGAATTTCTCCTATACGAATTGCGGATTTCTTGATTTTGTTTCACGGGTTTCTTTTTTTGCAGTGTATATATAAAATCACTTGACATTTTTTTCAGACCAAATTACTTAGACCAAATGTTACTTAGACCAAAAGTTACTTAGACCAAATTTTACTTAGACGAAATGTTACTTAGACCAAATGTTACTAGACAAAAAAGAACTAGACGAAAATGAACTAGACAAAAGTGAACTTAGACGAAAGTGTACTAGACGAAATGTTACTGAGCCATCCAATATGATATTGGATGCTCACTGCTCAGTATGAAAATGGGACTAATTTTAAAACATCAGAAAACAGAATATATTTTTTTTTTTCACAATTTCCTTCACACAAAGTATACTAAGAATTATGAGGTTAAATCTGAAAGCCTCCCCGATATGGAAGACCAGACTATAAGAATGCATTATATATTATTTTTTTAAAAATAAATATGCAACATATTAATTATTAATAGCTTTCCTTATTAAACATTGAAAATACTTAGTAATTTAAAGAAACCACAGGGGTGTATATTTTCTCGAAAAATCATTATTCCCCCCCTTTTGAAAAAAAATTTTCCCCAGAAGTATTACATGCTTGCGCATAATGGTGTTATTCTCTAAATTGGAAAAATAAATTATTTTTAGAGAAAAATTGTTGAATAATTGGGTAAAAAGTAAAGAAAAATGAAAAAGGTGCCTTCTTCTGTCCAATTTTCATCCCCCCCCCCCGCAAAATCATCAAAAACTCCTCCCCCTTGAAAAATATACACCCATGGAAATGTTAAATGTGTTTTCCCATTTGAAATAAATATCTTACCCCTGAATTCCATTGATAAACTCTGTGTCTGGTTCAACACGATTAAAATTAAATCCCTCTGGAATATCAAACTGACCAAGCATGTCTCCAATACTAGAATTCATCTCGGGTTCAGAGCATTCCGAGGTTTCCATGGAGATTGTGGAACCCACTACGGGGGAAGGATTCTGGAGTACCTCCGGGTCCACTTTTCGGTCCGGAGTTAGTTTATCCTCGACAAACTCATAAAACGGGCCAAGTACCTAGAATATTTTTTACAGGAGAACCAGAAAACTTTGAAATAAGAAGACGATAAATAATTAAGGGTATTTGATGTCGTTACAAAGCAAATAGTTTAATTAGTAACTTATACTTAACACGTTCAATTGAAATTTTCTGCCTAGAAAATTGCTGTGTCTCATGTCCATTAGACTTTATAGTAATAATTTCAGTTTAAAAGTCTTCTTCCTATTCCAAAGTTTTCTGGTTCTCACTATAGATAAGACTTGTTTGACGAGTGTAGTTCCACTTTATTAGATTGAAAAAGAAAATTTAATTTTAAACATAAAAAGAAGAAATAAAAATCTACAAGAACAGGAATTAACAGTCAATTAAATTTTTTTTCTCTACTTTTGATTTATGTTTTGATTGTCTCTTATGTAATTTGTACGTAAGCTAGAGAGAAAGCAAAGCTGAATTTGAATACAGTCAGCATTGTATTGATATATCCGCCTACAGTTTATTCACCGAATTATTTACCTCTATAAACTCTTGAACATCAGCAGAGAAGTTGATTGTCTCAATTATCTGTGTTAGAAGATCAACATAACCTAAACATTTTTTATTATTTGGAAAATTTTCGAATGCTAAAAATGCCATATAGAGCAAAAAAAAGAATTTTTTTAGCCTAAGGTTCCTTAAAAAATGTCAGCCAATTTGGTCCAGCGTTTGACAGGCTATAGTTAACATAAATATATGCACTAATATACAAATATATGTACATATATGAGAGAAGAGCTTTATTATGTAAGAAAAAATATAAAACACCAATTGGGACTTTGAACTTAACAGATTGAATTAGTTTTATTGAAATTAGTTTACAATAAAACTAGTTCCCGTGCTGTCCTTGTTCGTCACAGTAGAATGTACACAAATCCTGTCATCCCTTCCGGAGTTCTACATCTCACATGTCCAGGGGCGTATAAAGGAATTCGTCCAAGGATGGCCATATATGGCAATCATAATCCAGGGGGGGGGGGTTAAGCATAGACCCCACCCCGTATACGCCTCTGCCTAAGTCCTAACCAACCTTGCATAGCGTCCTGAGTTGACATGTTGCCTAGGCGGGCCCAGGCGTCATGTTTAGCTCGTCCAACTGGATCCCAGAAACCCGGCCGCGCCTTAAAAAATCAGGATTTAAATAATCGAAATTATAATTCATACAGTCCTAATCAGAGACCCATAATTAATTTACAATTCATTAGATGACCTTACAATCTAATTTTGCAAATATGATTGATGAAACGATAATATTGTCCTACCATTTCCAAATTGTGGTCTGCCTCTTTTGAGCATTTAAAATTACCAGATATATATAAAGTCGCCTAATTAACTGTCAATAATTCTTGGTCGTTCTGATTGTGATGGTAAGTAGATATTTTTAAAATGACTCGTATGTACTTTCAATCCAATTGACCATCTATTCAAAGAGGGACTTTTAAAACCTTTATCTGATCATTAATGTGGAAGGTTTTTTTTCGTTTTACTAACATGAACACTGAACAGTGTTAAATTGTTTTTGAAGCTGAAATGCGCAAGTCCTTTTAAAAGGGAAACAACATCATTATTCGAAACAACATTTATTATTCGATAACTATTATTGATCAGACAAAGCTTGGTACTGATGTGAATCGGGCATGTCACTCTAAATTATGTAAACAGTCCCTTTAATGAATCCAAACATTCATTTTGATTTGACTTTCTTAAAATAGTAATATTTCCACATTTAGCATCATCTTTTATCCTAGTACAAATCAAATCAGAATATCAGGGATATCTTACAAACCGTGTCGAAAACTGAAGTGACCTTTACTAAATCATCGTCTTTTATCTATATAATAAATCCTTTCCCCGCCATTTTGATTTCTGACCTGTGTACATGGTCCACGTGTCGCCTGCTTGAAATGCGCGTAGAAACCAAGTTTCATCTCGTTCGAGGGTTGAAACGAACCGCTTTTCGGAAGACGTTGGATGACATTTAAAGCCGCCCTAAACTTTCTCTCCTCCTCCATTATTCTTCTAGTCCATTTTTTCTAAAAGTACAAAAATTTTCTTTACAATTAAATGAGTAATGATTTGGTTTACAAATATTTGATATGATTTATTTTTTTATCTATTCCATCCACCTCGGTTTTTCTTTCCCCTATTTCCGCCCTGGTTATTCATCTGCCGCTTCGTTCCCTCCCATCCATTCCGCCTTCCCTCCGCCTCCCATCCTTTTCTTCTTTCATCCCCTTCCTCCCATTCTTCACCTCTACTTTGATCCCGTCTCTTCCCTCCTTCCTGCTGGTCCCATCTTCTTCCCCCTTCCTCGATCTCTCTTCTCCGTCCCCCCTCCTCCATGGCCATCTGCTGGAGCCTGCTGGCCATCTGGTTGGCCTGCTGGTATGATCCAGGACCTAAAATAACCAATATAAGAATAAAGAGTAGTAATGAAAACTAAAATTAAAGAATTAAAAGGACTAGAGACTCTCACACCAGTATTTTTAAACCTTTGCCTAATGTACGAGATATACGTCTTAATATCATGAAAAATAGATGTTTTTAAAGTGAAGATTTCTCTATGATAGTGACTTTCGGATTTATGCTAGAGAGACAAAGAAGATAAAGATTTTTAATGGAGAATCAGTTAAAATTAGCAACAAAGTTTAGTGGGTGCATTAAAAGTGACATATTTGGCAAAGAAAATTACAGAATTTTCCCAGTATTCCTAACTTTTCATGGCTTAAAACCTTGAAAACTTTGCATTTCTTAAAATAAATCCGTAAACCTGTATACTGACCTATATTGAAGTTAAAAGGAGGTCCTGGTGGTGGGAGTAACCCTATCCCACCCCATGGTCCTGGTCCATGACCTCCAGGTCCAATGGGTCCAACTGGTCCTAATACTGGTCCCGGACCACCAACACCAAGTCCCAGGATCGGAGGTCCAGATCTTAAAGAAGAAATATTATCATAAACCATTTAAAAAAATATAAATCTAAACAAATAATCTCAAACCTGAAGACATCGCCGAAACCTGAATAGTTGGCCGGCGCTACCCGCCCCGTTACCTTCTTATATTCCTAAAAATAACAATAATTTAAAAATGGTTTTTTGAACCTAAAGGATATTAAAAACCTACATCACTAAAAATCAATCAATGGTATGTGATCTTAAAGCTGCCCCAGTTTAGAAGACCAAAACCGCCAGCTGGGTTAAGCAATAAGCAAAAGCTAAAAAACCTTTAAAACAATAAACAGACCTTAATTTTGAAATTAATTTTTATCTAAAAAAGTTTTTATTACGATCGGATGTATACACCTCTAAATTTTGGAATCTCACCTCTAGTGCGTATCCCAGAGCTTTATGAATATGGAAAGCCATTTGTGCATTTCCGTCATTCTGAATAATCCTGAACAAAATGAAATTGAAATTTAAATTCAAATCTAAAATCAAATCTAAAATCAAATCAAATCTAAAATCAAATCAAATCTAAATTCAAATCCAAATCCAAATCCAAATCCAAATTCAAATTCAAAATCAAGATCAAGATCAAGATCAAGATCAAGATCAAGATCAAGATCAAGATCAAGATCAAGATCAAGATCAAGATCAAGATCAAGATCAAGATCAAGATCAATTCAAATTCAAATTCAAATTCAAATTCAAATTCAAATTCAAATTCAAATTCAAATTCAAATTCAAATTCAAATTCAAATTCAAATTCAAATTCAAGTTCAAGTTCAAATTCAAATTCAAATTCAAATTCAAATTCAAATTCAAATTCAAATTCAAATCGAAATTCAAATCAATTAAATTCAAATCAATATAAATCAAAAGAAATCAAAACAAATCTAATCTAATGAAATCAAATCAAATCAAATCAAATCAAATCAAATCAAATCAAATCAAATCCCACCTGAATATCCTAGGATCCGAAGGTCCAACGACGGATAAAGCTTCATCACAGATCCGTACAGCGTCTGATCCATGCCGGAAGACTGGCAGGGATTCCAACCTAAACAAACCCAGATTAAAGGGACTAGCTGTACATTGTATTGCGTGTGACTCTCCATTCAAAAATGAACACGCCTGATTCACAACGGTGCAATTTTAACCTCTCTCTGATTAATTAAGAAGAAGATATCGTCGTTATTCTATCTTAAATTAAAAATTAAAAATTTTCAGCGAGACAAACAAGGATATCTCTCATTTATTCTTGACCAGACAAAGGTTTAAAGGATACCATTAAATTCGACTATTTTAAATCACGTCTACAGTTTAAAATGCATAAAACGTGGATCAATTATGTATTTCATTAAAAAATGCATCAATTTAATCTAATGTAATTTTCTACTCCAATTTAATGAATATTTGAGACACACCTTGGTGTAAACCTATCATCAGCTGTATTCTGTCCGGACTCGGTCTTTTCGTTATTTTCTAACAATTCTTCCAGTTCTCCACCACGCAGCATATTCGTTCTAGGAGAGAGAGAAGGGAGGTCAGATACAGATATATTTAGATAATTTAGATTTTGATTTAATTAGATTAAATAAATCATAAATTTTGATAAAATATGTGAAAAAAGTGGCTTCTAAAAAATAGAAAAAAATAATTGAATTAATGTCCCACTAAAAATACGAAACATGACAGTAGCAAGACGGGTCTTTGATCTTTGAAATGATTTGCGACATTAATTCGTCAATCTTTTATTAGAAGTAAAATTATAGAGTAAATAATCAAAAAATAACCTTAGTCCTGGCAATCCAAAATGTGTTTTGCCATTTAAGTGCTTTAATATTACTGGAAATATAAAGATTTAGATTTGGACAATTTTCCCTGCTTTTAGATACTTATCACCCAAAATATGTTTACTTACCCCAATTCAGCGAAAACCATTTAAAGTTTTTTTTAAAAGGGAGAAAATTATTTTAAAAGGTGGTATAGACATTAGACAGTCATTCGCTTTTAAAGGAAGAATAGTTACCTATGTCTAGTTGCTATCAGAGGAGGAACTATCGGCAGTTTTCCTTTTACAAGAATTTGAAATTTATCCCACGAAAGCCCTCGTTTCTTTAACCTAAGAAAAAAGTTTATTTTAACTTAACCAATATATTGCAATTCAATACGTTGCAAGTCAGTATGTTGCATGTCAATATTTTGCAAGTCTAAAATTCTTCAAAGTGTTGCAAGTCTTCAATTCTTCAAAGTGTTGCAAGTCTTCAATTCTTCAAAGTGTTTCAAGTCTAAAATTCTTTAAAGAGTTTCAAGTCTAAAATTCTTCAATATGTGCAAGTCAAAAATTCTTCAGTGTTGCAAGTCTATAATAAATGGTACCGTTGTGAATCGGGCATTACCATATTTAAATAAAGGGTCACTTGAAATATGCTTACAGCAAACCTACCAGTTGTTAACATGAACAGATTCAGAACAGTTTTCACAACTTCCTTGGTCTAAACTTGTAAAACCTACCAGTTGTTAACATGAACAGATTCAGGTCCAGGAACAGTTTTCACAACATCGTTCCTTGGTCTAAACTTATTAAACCTACCAGTTGTTAACATGAACAGATTCAGGAACAGTTTTCACAACATCGTTCCTTGGTCTAAACTTGCTTGTCCATACAAGAGTAGCTCTATACTTGTTTTGATATGGCAGCCCAGGATACTTTTTTCTAATATAATTTCAGTTAAAATTAAATTAAATTGTACGAAAGACTTAATCTTTAATGTTTTCAACCATAACTCCTTTTATTAACGAACTACTGAGAAGAGTAAAAATGGTTTAAATTTCTATAATCCAATAAATTTAATGTTATTCTACTTGTGCATAAAATCAAAAGTACATGAGATACGAGGTCACAAAGTTGTGCCAGTAATTCTCCCTCTGTCTAGTTCACAGTAAATATAGAGAAAAAAATCATTTGAAAAATACAATACGAAGAAATACGACACGTTTTTATTTCAGGAAAAATATTTTTTATTTACTGGTTTTGTTCAGATAACATTTTAATGGCACAATTATGTACACGTTATGTACTGTTTGACAGATTTATCGGGTTCTTCTTGGTCTTGCGTACACAAGTTATAGTAATCTGTTCTCTAGTACATGTCTCACACTTGAGATTACAGCACCATTCAAACTTACAGTTACACGAGGTCGAGACAAGCTTAACCTCTTTCCTGGCGTCGAGACCACATCCAGTACACACATCAGAACATTTCTTTATATCCTTGGTTTTAGACTTGGACTCTGGAGATACGGAGCAGACCCGTCCCTTTACTCCGGGTACTCGGAGAGCAGGGTTGGCGATACAGTAGTTAGGAGAGGGTTGGAGAAATACAAGCTTGCGTTTCTTGATTGCTGGCACAGTACGACGATCTCTGCTGGCCCGACTGAAGATGATTTTGTTGAGAGAAGGATCGGAGAGGGTGGTTAAACCTGATCCTCCGGTTCCAACATGAACTGCATCTTTGTGGCGACGACGAAGGTAGCGTCCCACGGAGTTGAAATCTCCAACGGATTTCCAACAGGTTTGGACAGCACAGGAACCGGAAACACCGTGACATTTGCAAACCCGGCGCATTGACTTCCTCACCGCAACCTTACCCGCCTCAAGATTATGATGCTGTGTTAAGGAACCACCTGGAAGAAATTTCTCAGAAACAGAATCCGCAAAGGCGAGATTATCCGAACAACCCGCCCACTCCCAGGATTCATCTGTGACAGGGGAGTTTCTACCACACCCACAACCATCTAGCTCACCCGCCGAGCAGTTCCTAGACACGGTGTGGATGATACCAGCGCTGAGGATCGCCTGAATTAGAGCAGATTCTCTTGTAGATATTCCGAAGTTAGGTTGGAACATAGAAGCAGGACAGTTCCAGACTTGATTACGGAACATTTTGGAACACTGTTCCATGGCAAGGTGGGAACCGGCAGCCACACTCTGAGAGATGGATAAATCGGTCGAAGGTACAATAGAATTGGTGCTGGGTAATGCAGGTTTAAAAGCATTGATGCTTCTAAGCAGGGAAAGAAGAATACAAATAAACGAATGCATTCTAAGACTTTTCTAAACCAATGGTTGGTATTGAACTGATGTGAGGTTGACGTTTGTACCGGAATATATATTGAATGGTCACCCTATCCCGTCGCGGTCAAGTGTCCACTTTGACCGGAAAATCCGATCGTACAAATCTCCGGTAGTAAAGGTTCTCCGGTCAAATCGGACAATAACGGGGGGGAGGGGATTATCACAATCAATTACGGTAGAAGATAAGACTTCATTTAGCAAGAAAAACGAGAGAAAAGATTTTTGAAAAATCTAAAACTGAAAGTATATTTTCCTGTCATCTGCAGATATAGGTACAACTTCTAATGACACTTTCTGACCTAAAAATATATATACTGCAAAGATTGTTGTTCTCCAAAATATCGTTTTAATGATAAACTTTGCATTTTCATCAGAGAACAGGACTTAAACTTTCTAATCCTTTTATCTTTGCTACGACAGGATGTGAAAACCTTTAATATATCAAACTTTGACATAAAGATCTCGCATATAGGGTTGTTAATCGTTTTTTGTTTCGTTTTCAAAAACGATCGTTTCGTTTTCGGAAAAAAACGATCGTTTTTAAAAACGACCCACTCGTTTTGAACTTTTAGAGAACGAATAGTGATCGTTTTTGAAAACGATCGTTTTTATTAAAACGATTTGCGACCGTTTTTTATACGATTTTTTTTTTATTTCAATTATGTTAACGATCGGTTAAGGGTCGTCGTTAACGATCGTTAACGAAGGGTTGTCGTTAACGAAACGACGAACTTTATCAAAACGGTTGTTTTTGGAAAAAAAATTACTTGCAACTTTATTGAATGTCGTTTTACATGAAGTTTAACAGTTGTGGGGGAGTTAAAAGTCCTTGATATTTTCTTAAAAACAACTCAATGATAAGTACAGATGCCCTTCAGGTCGGTTTCCTCTCTTCGTTAACGATCGTTAACGAAGGGGTCGTCGTTAACGATCGTTAACGAAGGGTTGTCGTTAACGAACGTTAACGAAGGGTCGTCGTTAACGATCGTTAACGAAACGACGAATTTTATAAAAACGATCGTTTTTAAAAACGATCGTTTTTAAAAAACGAACTTTATAAAAAAAACGATCTTTTTTAAAAACGATCGTTTCGTTTTCGATTTTTCGTCGTCGTTATCATAACGAAACGATCGTTTTTCTGAAAAATGAAAACGTTAACATCCCTACTCGCATACTTCTTAGGTTAAAATATCTATGGACTATGACGTCAGGTTTCAAAGATATAAGAATTACAAAAATCGTTAATGATGCAAGTTTTGCTTTCAACATTGATAAACATGACTTTTTTGATGATTAACATTCTTTTTTAGGTTTTACTTCAAACATTCAATATATATTTCTATCAAAATAAAGATTTGAATTTTTAAAAAAAACATTTTATCTCCAAATTTGAAAAATTAAACAAAACTATTTTCTACCTACCTTCTATGAAAAGATTGGTTAGATCAACTTTTCCCATGTTATAACCAAGAACCCACGTGTTTCTAAACAAAAAATATATCAATTATTTAAAGTTGGTGATGGACCAAACCTCTGTAGTTATTGAAAATATATTTCGGCCTGGGTTGATCCTTGTCAGTTCTTGAGATTGCATGGTTCTGTCCGGAAGATCAAAAATGATCGAAAACTTCTTAAACCAGAACAAATTGACTGTGAACTATACATATATGATATACTTTTAATTATATATAAATAAAGATATGATATGTTTCCTTTATTGAAGAACTATTGAAAAACTAAAAACAAGAATATTTTGAATTTCTTATATCTAACTGGTTAAATTATCCCTTCTTGTACTTCTCGTACATAATAACAAAGCTTAGAGGAAGAACTAATAACAAGAATATTTTGAATTTCTTATATCTAACTGGTTAAATTATCCCTTCTTGTACTTCTCGTACATAATAACAAAGTTAGAGGAAGAACTAATAACAAGAATATTTAGAATTTCTTATATCTAGCTAGTTAAATTATCTCGTCTTGTACTTCTCGTACATAATAACAAACTTAGAGGAAGAACTAATAATAAGAATGTTTTGAATTTCTTATATCTAACTGGTTAAATTATCTCGTCTTGTACTTCTCGTACATAATAACAAAGTTAGAGGAAGAACTAATAACAAGAATATTTAGAATTTCTTATATCTAACTGGTTAAATTATCTCTTCTTGTACTTCTCGTACATAATAACAAACTTAGAGGAAGAACTAATAACAAGAATGTTTTGAATTTCTTATATCTAACTGGTTAAATTATCCCTTCTTGTACTTCTCGTACATAATAAGAAAGCTTAAAGGAAGAACTAATAACAAGAATGTTTTGAATTTCTTATATCTAACTGGTTAAATTATCTCTTCTTGTACTTCTCGTACATAATAACAAAGTTAGAGGAAGAACTAATAACAAGAATATTTAGAATTTCTTATATCTAGCTGGTTAAATTATCTCGTCTTGTACTTCTCGTACATAATAACAAACTTAGAGGAAGAACTAATAATAAGAATGTTTTGAATTTCTTATATCTAACTGGTTAAATTATCTCGTCTTGTACTTCTCGTACATAATAACAAAGTTAGAAGAAGAACTAATAACAAGAATGTTTTGAATTTCTTATATCTAGCTGGTTAAATTATCTCGTCTTGTACTTCTCGTACATAATAACAAACTTAGAGGAAGAACTAATAACAAGAATGTTTTGAATTTCTTATATCTAACTGGTTAAATTATCCTTTCTTGTACTTCTCGTACATAATAAGAAAGCTTAAAGGAAGAACTAATAACAAGAATGTTTTGACTTTCTTATATCTAACTGGTTAAATTATCCCTTCTTGTACTTCTCGTACATAATAACAAAGCTTAGAGGAAGAACTAATAACAAGAATGTTTTGACTTTCTTATATCTAACTGGTTAAATAATCTCTTCTTGTACTTCTCGTACATAATAACAAAGTTAGAGGAAGCACTAATAACAAGAATGTTTTGAATTTCTTATTTAACTGGTTAAATTATCTCTTCTCGTACTTCTCGTACATAATAACAAACTTAGAGGAAGAATTAATAACAAGAATATCTTGAATTTCTTATATCTAACTGGTTAAATTATCTCTTCTTGTACTTCTCGTACATAATAGTCGTACCAGTGGTGTTAAACAAAATTATTTTTTCCTTCTCTCTAGTTTGCAACGATAACAATGTAAAGTAATGTGCTTTAGTAAAAAATATATATATTTATTTATCTAAATTTGGGATTCAAAATTAAACATAGAAATAATGATCCAGTTTATAACCCTTCATCTAGAAAAATACAAATGAATTCCGATATCAACGACACGTTTCTCTCCGGAAAACATTAAATTCATAATTTGTAGATTTTTAACTTTTTCATTTTGAAGATATAAATTTTGAAAACCTTTAAACTCAGGTTAAACTTATAATTTTTTTCGTGAGAGTAAGGCCCTCTTAGTCAAAAAAAACTATTAGGATGTGAAAAAAATCCTTGATTTATCAAAATAAACTAGACAGATTAAGGAGATAAAATGTATGCGACATTATTGCTATGACTTTGTGACCTCGTACCATATCTAATTTGGATTTAACGCAGGCACAAGTATGAGATAAGCTAATTCATTCTCTTACAATTAGAAATTCTAAACCAATTAGAAATTCAAAACATATTAGAAATTCAAAACCAATTAGAAATTCAAAACATTTATGCTAATCTCATGAACTCTTCTAAATATTATGATTTATGATTGAAAACGTAGATTTTAGTCTAATGTGCAATTTACTTTAGTCTAACGTGACATATTGCCTAACGACATGTTATATCTTGAAAACAAATTTATTTATTTAAAATTATAAAATTTTGACATTTCTCAAGAGTTAGGTGAGCTGGGATATATGAATATTTACCTCCTATGAAATGTGACTAGAGCTCCTATAAGTGCTCCTTTATCCACCTTGATAACTCCACAAACAGCTCCTGCATCCCGCCCACCTTTCTGCTCCTATACATTTAGGAGTTGGATCAATCCCTTCTGCTCCTATACATTTAGGAGTTGGATTAATCCTTTCTGCTCCTATACATTTAGGAGTTGGATTAATCCCTTCTGCTCCTATACATTTAGGAGTTGGATTAATCCTTTCTGCTTCTATACATTTAGGAGTTGGATTAACCCCTTCTGCTCCTATACATTTAGGAGTTGGATTAATCCTTTCTGCTCCTATACATTTAGGAGTTGGATTAATCCTTTCTGCTCCTATACATTTAGGAGTTGGATTAATCCCTTCTGCTCCTATACATTTAGAAGTTGGATTAACCCCTTCTGCTCCTATACATTTAAGACTTGGATTAATCCTTTCTGGCTCGCTATAGATTACTATTCACATAATCAAATTTCTCATTAATATATATTTAGATTTCGCTAAATCAAATAGTTAACATTAAGATATGAAATGTTTAAATCATCTGACTTCAACGATAAAGCAGTTTGCAATCATAACTTCTCTTATTTAAGAGCTAGAGCTATTGAGAAGAACATGTTTAGAATTTCTAGTGTGGAATCCTGAATTAAGATGATTACTACTAAATTAAATCTAAAGTTCGATTTTACAATTTCTATTACTTTCTAGCGCCTTTAACGTTTCTTTTGATTTTAAGTAAACTCAATTCCGTGAATACAAAATGGATATTGAGTTTAATCTCTGAAGTTAAGATCCAACCCAAACAAAATTTTCGCCCTTAATCCTCAAACCTACATTTTAACTAGCAAAAGTGCAACTAGCACACTGAATATGACAGAAAGTTCTATTTTTTGCGATATTGCCAATACGAATTAGTAACGTTGGCGCTACTCGAGTTTAGACTTAGAATGAGAAATGAAAATTTATTCGTATACAATATACATAATAAAATGCATCACATTTTTGTTGTTCTCAATAGCTCTTAATTAAGTTATTATTGAAACAAATAAGGTTTCAATCTAACGTGTAAATTTACTTTAGCTTAAGGTAACAACTGTTAACTAGACAAAGTGAGTACTGAAACTTTTTCAATATCACTGGTAAGACTATGTGACCTCAAAGCTCCTGTAGTATGCGAAAATAAAATAAATATATTTAGTTGCAGATTATAATTTATTTCGTTCTTTTCAATAGCTCCTAAATTAGAGGAGTTTTGAAAGAAAACCTGTAATATTTCAATTTCAATTTCCTTAAGTTTCCAAAAACATTGCTGTTCATTACCTTAGGCCCGACACCCCTGAGTTTACCTTAGGTCCGACACCCCTGAGTTTACCTTAGGTCCGACACCCCTGAGTTTACCTTAGGTCCGACACCCCTGAGTTTACCTTAGGTCCGACACCCTTGAGTTTACCTTAGGCCCGACACCCCTGAGTTTACCTTAGGTCCGACACCCCTGAGTTTACCTTAGGTCCGACACCCCTGAGTTTACCTTAGGTCCGACACCCCTGAGTTTACAACCTCTATCTAACTGTACAACAGTACCCTTCATTTCGTCTTTACGAAACGGAATAAATATCCTAGAAAAGACAATTGATTATAATAAAACAAAACGTTCGTATATATATATATGTTGCTTATAGCCGGCCAAACGGCTGGACAGATTGGGCTGAAATTTTTTGTGGACACTCATGAGTGGCCGTGGGGTGTTATAGGCTTAAAAAATCGAAAATATTTTTTTCACATTTCTTTGAAAATATTTTTTTCCACGGGCAACGCAGGGATCAACAGCTAGTATAGATATATATATAAATATATAAAATATACAACATGTAAAAAATATATAAAATATAAAAAATATAAAAAATATAAAATATATAAAGTGATGCCCATCCCTACAATACAGACAATCACATATGTTTGCGGCCGGCGTGGACTTGCTTTTTTTATTTCTTATACTATGCCAAATTTTAACCGAGACAGAAAATATGTGCAAAAAAAGACTCAAAAAACCAACATAGTTTTTTTATTAAAAGCAAACTTTACTTAAATACAGTTTTAAAATGTTCAGAAAATATGTACAAAAAAACGAATCAAAAACCCAACATATTTTAGCGATCGTTTTTTATTAAATGCAAACTTTAATCAAAAACAGTTTTAAAATGTTCAGAAAATATGTGCAAAAAAGACTCAAAAAACCAACATATTTTAGCGATCGTTTTTTAATAAATGCAAACTTTAATGAAATACAATTTTTACAAAATGAACTAAAACGAGTGACAACAATATTACCTGGGAGGTTTATCTCCTTTAAGAACCTGTAAGAACTCTTTTATAGAAAGGTCGTGAGCGTCAAGAAACAGCAAAAGTTTGTGTCTATCTCCTAGAAATAAGAATAAAAAATGGAACCAAAAACTTTAAGAAATAGCAAAAGTTTGTGTCTCTCTCCTAGAAATACGAATAAAAATGAAACCAAAATCTTCAGGCAAAAGCAAAAGTTTGTGTCTTTCTCTTAGAAATACGAATAAAAATGGAACCAAAATCTTTAAGCAAAAGCAAAAGTTTGTGTCTTTCTCTTAGAAATAAGAATAAAAAATGGAACCAAAAACTTTAAGAAATAGCAAAAGTTTGTGTCTCTCTCCTAGAAATAAGAATAAAAGATAAAACCAAAAACTTCTAGCAAAATCAAACGCTTAATTGTGTCTCTCTCCTAAAAATAAGAAATAAAACTGAACAAAAACTTCAAGAAACAAGTTTTTGCGTCTCTCCTTGAAATAAGAATCAAAATGGACTAAAAACTTCAAGCAGAAGTAGAAGTTTGTGCCTATCTCCTAAAATATAAGAACTAAAATGGACTAAAAACTTCAAGCAAAAGTAGAAGTTTGTGCCTATCTCCTAAAATATAAGAACTAAAATGAACTAAAAACTTCAAGCAAAAGTTGAAGTTTGTGTCTATCTCCTAAAATATAAGAACTAAAATGAACTAAAACTTCAAGCAAAAGTAGAAGTTTGTGCCTGTCTCCTAAAATATAAGAACTAAAATGAACTAAAAACTTCAAGCAAAAGTTGAAGTTTGTGCCTATCTCCTAAAATATAAGAACTAAAATGAACTAAAAAATTTAAGATAAAGCAAAAGTTTGTGTCTCTGTCCTAACAGTAAAAATACAAAACCAAAAACTTTTTATGGGCTTTCATATTTTATTTTCATGTAATTATTATTTTAATAAAAATAATTTCAAAATCAATTTGAATTGTTTGAGGACTTATAATATAATTTTTAGGCAAAAACATTTTAAAACCTCAACCGAAAACTTTAAATTTCTAAATAGACTTAGATCTAGATTTTAAATTATGATAAACTTACTCGGAATTTCGCTAAAATTTTAATGTGGTGACATAGAATCTTTTGAAATAAGAATTCGAGTAATTTCAAAATGTACCTATTGGAATATCCCTAGGGTGCTGGTAGCTAGCATGCTCTTTAGGCCACCCTACCCATAGGCAGGTTACACGCAATCTGTACGCAAAAATTCATTTATCAAGCAATCTACAAGCAAACCATTCATTTATCAAGCAATCTGTACGCAAATATTCATTTATCAAGCAATCTGTACGCGAATATCCATTCATCAATAAATCTGTACGTAAATATTAATTTATCAAAAAATCTGTACGACAGTATTTATTTTTTGAGAAAGCTGTACGCAAAAATCTATTTTTCAGGCAAACTGTACGCAAATACTCATATATGTACGCAAATATACATTTATCAAACAATCTGAACGCAATTATTCATTTATCAGGCAAAATGTAGACAAATACTAATCTATCAAGCAATCTGTGCGCATATATTCATTTAGCAAACAATCTGTACGTAAATATTCATTTCTCAAGCAATTAATACGCAAATATTCATGTAATTATTTACGCACTTGATGTCTGCCTCTTCTGAGTCTGGAATGAAGTCGAGATGAACAAAGCAAGGTTCATTTAGCTCCAGTATATATTGGAGATCCGTTTTCTCCAGGCTCCAACCAAACACGGAGCACACACTCCTAAACAAAGCAAGGTTCGTTTAGCTCCAGGATATATTGAAGATCTTTTTCCTCCAGGCTCAAACAAAACACGGAGCAAACACTTATTCAAATAATAAACATTATTAGTATTATAAAAAAAAAACATCATTCTATGAAAAAGGGGCAGCAACACCGAATCATAATTCATCACATTTATCTTTTTCACGATATTTTTCGTGGATTTGGAAAAAAATTTAAAAAATAGTAGGTTTCTTCCCTGTTTAATTTTAACCCAAATATTTCCTCTAATTTCAATTGTCGAACTTGTGCTGTTTTCAAATAATTCATTAAATAAAAAACATTTCCAATGCCTCTAAACTTTCCTAAGGATTTTAAATGATTTAAATAAACACCATTTACAGCGTTGGGTGTTTCTATTTTCTTGAAAAACAAGACTAGTCCTTCCATTTCCAAATGTGGTTTGCCTTTTTCGTGCAAAATTCATTTTATCTAATTCTTGTTTTCTCTCAGAGAAAAAAACGAAATCACTGGTTTAATGAGAAAAATATACACCTCTGTAATGATTTAATACCTGTCAAAAACAGCTTTCATATCCATATACTCTCCAGATTCTATATATACTATTCCAGTGGATACTCCAGAACTACCCTATACAATAAAATATTCAATCAATCAATCAATCATATCCATATTTATATATATTTGAACTTATTTGAAATGGAATCTGAAAAAGAGGCCCCGCTATATATATCCAAGGATTCATAAGGAAACGAAATCTGCAAGAGACCCCAATGTGGACCCCCCAGACCACCGCCAGGCGCAAGAAGTACCGTCCCGCCCCTGCTCTAACTGGACCTTTACACCCAAACAGTTAGTCCACTTCTAGGGAGATAAAGGAGATACATTCCAGCCAGTTGGCTCACCAAATAACTCTCCAGATTCGATATACATTATTCCAGTAAATACTGCAAAACTACCCATCAACCACTTCATATCGATGTACTCCCTTAATTCTATATATACTATTCCAGTAGATACTCCAGAACCACCCTGATCAATCAATCAATCAATCAAACAATCAATCAATAAATCAATCAATTCATAGCAGCTTTAAGATCCATATACTGCACAAATTCTATATACTCCAATCAATTAGACAATCAACCCAATCAAACCCATCTGTTCAACTCCAATCAATTAGACAATCAACCCAATCAAACTCCAATCAATTAGACAATCAACCCAATCAAACCCATCTGTTCAACTCCAATCAATTAGACAATCAACCCAATCAAAGCCATCTGTTTTACTCCAATCAATTAGACAATCAACCCAATCAAACCCATCTGTTCAACTCCAATCAGTTAGACAATCAACCCAATCAAACCCATCTGTTTTACTCCAATCAATTAGACAATCAACCCAATCAAACCCATCTGTTCAACTCCAATCAATTAGACAATCAATCAAATCAAAGCCATCTGTTCAACTCCAATCAATTAGACAATCAACCTAATCAAAGCCATCTGTTCAACTCCAATCAATTAGACAATCAACCTAATCAAAGCCATCTGTTCAACTCCAATCAATTAGACCATCAACCAATCGATCAATCAACCGCTTTAAAAGTGGAATTCATTCATCACTAATTCAATTAAGATATATCAAATTATAACTTAGTAACTTTAAAGTAACTTAATAACTCAATCAAATCATCATGAAATAAATCGATCAATTTTCGAAAATAACTATCTTAACTGTATTTTTAAATATTTTAACCTGAGGGGGAAGAATGTCGTGTACTCTGGCACAAACTGTTCCTTCTAAATAAAAACAATTGTAAAGAGTAAACGGGTAAATATTTTCTTTAAAGCATGAATGATCAAAAAAGAAGTTTGTAAGAGAAGAGGTAAGTAAGAAGGCAAGAGAGTAAGCAAGTACGACCGTGAGTTAAAGGGAGAGAACGGCTATGTCACATATTTGAGCTGCAAGTGCAGAATTATAGAGAAAAATGTTGATACCAATGAGATATTTTTACGGTGTACAATTTTTAAACAAAAGCGTAAAGTTGTTAGTAATATTATTATATTTCACCTGATGTTTCAGCCAGCAGAAGAAACGATTTTCACAATTATTTAATAACCCGGACAAAACATGTAAAAAATTTAATTCATTAACTAATATGCTGTTTGGGAACAAATTTCATCGTAGAATCGATATTTTCATTATCACTATTATTTGTGCTGTTACAATAATTTTTTCACAGATTTCTTTAAATGTCGTCTTCCCAATGAAAATAAAGAAAACCTCCAACAAGCTACCCTGACTAAACGAATTTGCATAAACCTGCAAGATTTTAAAAAGAATTTTAATAACTTTTTCCAAATTTGTCTCAACCTATTCCTACGCATACAACTAGTTTGTAGAATAGTATTAATTAATGTTTTGTCCATGTTATTTAAGAAAATTGTAAAAAAAAAACTTTCTTCTGTTGGCTGAAACAACTGGGGAAATAGTACTGAAGACTTTACGCTCATATTTAAGAATTGTACACCGAAAAAATGTCTCATTGGTATAATATAGGATAAAATAAGTAAATACGCAAGAAAGTAAGTGAATGATTGATAGAAAATATTACCTGAAGCTGAACTGGAGTATCCGTTTAGATAAACAGCTCTAGGGGGTATAGAACCCTCAACAATGTCCTTTAGGTAAATCATCATGTTTATTTCAAACTAGCTAAAGTGCTTGTGAAATTTTAGAAACATTGAAGAAAAAAATTCTAATTTTGAAAATTTGAATTTTTAAAAAGTTCGAATTTGGAAAAAAATTTAAAATTTTTTGGGGCAAATACTACCCCAGAGTACCCAATACCCATGGGTTCCCTAAAAAATTGTCAGCAATTTCATCAAAAGAATGGAGGACATTTTAATTAATGTGCAACTGTTTACTGTTTTATTTGTATGTTCAACTGAACAATAATTCGGATCTATTTCATTAAAATGTTGGGGATTCTTATGAACACATCTCTCTATTGGTCAGAACAATCTTAATGAAATTTTAGAATTGGATGAGAATGAAAATTTCATGATTTAACAAAATTAGCTATGAAGAAGATGACGCTAATCGCACTTTTTTGACTGGCCCTGTTTATTTATACAAACTAGCTGAAGTGCCCTGCGATGCAGGTGGAATTTTTTCAGTCGAATTTTTTTTAAATCGGTTTTTGAAAAAAAAAATTAAAATTTTGTTCCTCAGCAAAATCGATCCAGCCGTTTGGCCAGCTTTAGCTAATAAATATAAATACAAATATATATGAGCGAAGAGCTTTAATATATAGATGTAGAGCTAGAGAAAAACAAAACGATTAAGAATCTTAATACTGTAAGAATGTTAAATTTTTTACTGAAATATCCTTTTTTTAATCACAGGAAAATTGAGAATAACTGTAAAAAGTTAGCTTTAAAGATATTCTTAATATAAAACCCTTGAAATGGGTTATTTACGTGGAGGTTATCCATTTCAAGGTTAACAAATCCCCAGTTCGTTTTAAATACTTTAAACAAGGCATGCAGTAATAACGTTTTTTTTTCAGTTATTTCAACACCTGTTTCTAGAACCTTGAGATCCATTTTAAGGGACTGTCGGCGTAATTTGAAGTGACCCTGCATTTAAAGAGTTGTTTGTTGCATTGTTATTTTTTCTATTGGAAAATCCATTGTTCAATGAAATATGGGTCGACGCTCCTCGCCACCGAAGTGATAACAATTAACATTTATCAATTTTCAGACAAAAAAAAAGGTTAGAATATCTGTGCTTTCATACTAAGAGAAAGTTTAAAATCCACCGTTGAGAATCAGGTAAACCACTTTTCAAAAAAAGGGTTGCATGAAATTACGTGGCCAATCCCTTTAAGGATTCCTACCTCGTACAACTTGATGTTCATCCCCTCCCTGCCCAGGAACCTGGTGGACTGAAAGGAGAAGATACGAGGATACAGGAGTGTATCCTCCTTTGTATTGGGGGTGAGGGTCAACCCTCCTTGACCTGTCGCGTGGAGAAAGGATACGCTTCCTTTCCATCCCAGCGTAATCTCATGCGTCACTAACAGAGGAAGTTCATAGATAACCCCTTGACTAACTACTTGACTAACTACTTGACTAAATACTTGACTAGCTACTTGACAAACTACTTGGCTAGCTCCTTAACTAACTATTTAACTATAAGCTCCTGGATCAGGTCATTTACCAACCATTTTGACTTACTACTTGACTAGCTCCTTAGCTAACTTCTTAAACAACCCCTAGACCACCACCTTGGCCACATCCTTGACAACCTCATTGACTAACTCCTTGACAAACCCCTCTATCAATTCCTTACCCAGAGTCTTGCCCAATCCCTTAACCAGTTTCAAGATTTTTATCAGGATTCCAAAATCCAGATTTAGAAAGTATTGAGGGGTTATCTACGAGTTTCTCCCTGGTTCGCCGTTGAATAAAACCTTTTCGCCATCAGAGCCTGCCAAGGGTTCTGCATAGCAATAGAAAATGTTCATTCCAAAAGCTGAAGAGGAAAAGAAATATTGCAAGTCCGTCCTGTACTGAAGGGCCCCGAGATGGAACATCTTGTCCCGGTGAAAATGTACAAACTTCACCGTAGTGTCGACCTCAATATACCTTTTGAACGAGTTCTTGGTGAAGGCCAGAGTGTTGAGGTCGGATGGACGCAACACCTCCGCGATACCGGACTCGACACCGGTAGGGCCCGGGGGGTCAAACTTCACAATTTTAGCGACAAGATATTTGTTAGAACTGTCGACAGCGAGGGGGAAGGGTTTGTGTCGAATCTCTGGGACGGTTGGACGGGGACCTGTATAGGCAAGAAGGGCTATATATGGAGCAGGACAATCTTCAAATATTTGTCCACCGGGGGAGCTATTCGGAGAGTATTCAACAATCACCTGAATTCAATAGAAATAAATTCAATAGAAACGTTTCCAGAGGCGTACTCAGGAGGGTTATGTGGGCTCAGCCCCCCCCCCCGTGGGCCGAAAAATTTCTAATGTTGCCAGGTTTTTTTATGCCTCAACGGCTTCTGAGCTGAGTTAGAATCTTTTTTTTAGTTTTTTTGATGAATTGGGGAGCATAAATTATTATTGTAAGGGCAAAATAACATATTTTTGGGTAGAAATAACAAAATGGATGATAAAACTTGCCTTTTTTACGTCCAAATATCATTTTTTTCAGATTATCAAAAAACATTCCCCCGAAAATGAAATAAAATTAAAAAAGAAGAAATTTTAAATCGCGTGGGACAAAAATTTTCATAAAAATAAGAAGTAGGGTTACTCTTCCTATAGAGAAGAACTAACGTCAAAAGCTTGAAAACGAAAAATGCGAGAAATCAAAAAATAAGAAAATTCAATACCTTCATGCCCACTTGAAGAACTAACAGTAGATCTGTGGTTACGCTTAAATGAACTCCGTTCAGATATACACGGGATCGATGGAAAAACACCTTTAGGAGAATATTTGTTTTCTGCACTGCTTAGAAATGTAATTTACTAATATTTGAAAATATTATTTTTCATCATTTTTTAATAGAAATATTTTTATTCTACATGACTAAAAAAACTTGTTACTTTTTTTTGAAAAGTTTGCCAACTATATTTTAATGTCTTTTTATATCAACCATGGCAATTTTAGTAAAAAAAAGTTTTTCCTCGGTATCATCGCAAGCTATTATTCCTCCGTGTGGTCTGTGAATTGCAACAATCGTTCCCATCTCTCCCTAAAAATATTTGACAAAAATTATTCAGCGGATTTTTTCCCTTAAATTTTTTAAGGATTTTTGTGGCACTGCGTTTGTTCAATTTGAATTTGAAAATATTAATATAAGATAAGATTTCACATATTTTCTTTGTTGCAAAATTTGACCTACTTTTGTCATAGAAGTAAGGGGTTAGCCATAACTTTTGTTTGCATTTGTAACACGATTTTTTTAAAAAATAAAACATAGTTTAAACAGGTTGATTGTTATTAATAATACCTTTTTAAGCGCAGAATCCGGATGTTCTAACAACATGTTAGGTTTAGGCATACTTATTGCCACTAGAAACCATTTTAGTGAACACGCCTAAACAAAAATTACTTTAAATAATTCTCGCCAAAACAGCTATTACATGAATGAAAGGGATTTGTTTAGCCGAATTTTTATGTTGATTATCATCAATTAAACGCTTATTCCCAATATCCAAGTTATCTCTGCAGGGTATGACCAGTGACCAGTCGAATAAGAATTAAATTAATCCTTAAGTAAAATGTAAATCAATGTTTAATCCAAAGATTTACAGCACAAAAGTTTTGACTTTTGAAGTAATAATACAGTTTCCATCTAATCAGGGAAATAAAAAATCCAATTTCATGACAGAAACAATCTCAAGAACTGACGAGGGTCAACCCAGACTGAAATATATTTTCAATAAATGTGGAACTAACATCTACTTTATTTCCTCTAGAGAGGTTTGGTTCATCACCAACACCGAATAATAAAAACTATATTAAACCTGAAACAAAGGTTGATCAGTTGAACTGTTCTATTTAATAATATATAGGGTTTCCCACAAAGAATCAAATCAAATTAAGTTCAAATCTTAAAGAGAACCCAACTTGGAATCTCAGACCGCCTTCAGGGCACTGCACACCGACACCACCCTGTGGACAGGGCTGATGAGACTAAAAAGACTACCTAAAACTCTTCCTTCCTGACGATTTAAATGTTAAATTTGGTTTATAGTTTTACCAAATGGTTATGTAAAAAACTATTTTTCAATATATTCCGTAGAGTCGTCTTTGAAGTCTCATTCTTAGTGGGTAACCCTGAATATGCAGATTCCTGAATTATATTAATTATTATAATTATATTGATAACCTAACATTTCTTACTTGAAAGATGAATCTTCAGCTCTGAATAAAGTTCCATCATTCAAACTGTTTTTATCTAACAAGAATTAATAAGCATTAAAAACTAGCTTCACTGAATTTCTTTCTAAGGGGTGCATGTCTTTTTCAAAAATCTTACATCCCCTCCGCTTGGATTTACAGATTTTTTTCAATCGCCAAATTTGAGTTTTAAAAAGGGATTTTTTTTTGTTTTAGCATAATCAATATGAGAGCTGGAAAAACTTGCAAATTAAAGCCCTCCTCCCTCTCTGAGATTATAACGAACCCCATACCTGGTTTACAGTCTAGATCCCCAACCCAGAGACAGTTTATAACCCAGCAACATTTCTTCTCTTCTCCTTTATCATCCCTGAAACTAGGGGAGGAACCAGACTCAGGAACCAGCCGGGGAACCTGACAAAGGAACTGTTAAGTATTTAAGAGATCTAAAGGAGTGTGTCAACAAAATTTTAAATGACCCTTTATTTATAGAGTGGAATGTCGATGATAAAGTTAAAAAGTTTATGTTATTTTTTTTAACCATTGTGAATCGGGAAAATGGAGGATTTTTTTCAGTCCCTTTAAGTTACCATTTATTTTGATGACGACGGCGCCCTTTAAAACTAAGAATCGCCGATAAATTTCTACAGCAAGGAAGATCAAGAAAATGTCTGCGATTTTTTATCTCTCCTAAAGTTGTGAATATGGTTTTTTGCTTCAAATGTTGGTTAAAAATATTTAGAACCTGTGAGACCATATCTGCATATACTTTGAGTCCGACAGGGAAGAGAAGAGACAGTTCTTGATCTGTTCGCACAGCATCCCCTGTAGGAAACTTATTTCGTAATTAAAAATTATTTAAAAACTATAAAAAAAATTCCAAATCTTAAAATCCATATAAAAAATGGCAATTCAGAATTAAATGGTGAAGAACCCTTTAAAGAGAAGAACATTTATAGCATCAATTTTTGTTATATCTAATTTCAATGGATCCAGTTTTTCTTAAGGATATCCTAAAAGAAAAATCCTTGTGATTTTAACAAAATTTAAACAGATATCCGTGGATATTTGTAGCCCCAGCTAGAAGGGACGGAAGAAGGTTGAAAGATATGTCTTCTAAACTTGTTTTACCTAAAAGTAAAGTTCCGTTGACGAATGATTTGCCGGGAAAGAGAACTCCTATTTCTGAATTTTCCTCATGGACAAAGGAAATATATATTCCAAACCTGGACCAAACATTTCTTTAAAATTCTTATACAATTTAACAACCATCCTACTAATATTTGGCTTGTGTATCTGTTTATTTGTTTGAATAAAATAAATGTGAAAACGGCTAAACTGATCGGGATAAAATTTGTTTAAGGTTCAAAAATGTTTGATGGATAAAGTTTTAGAAATCCGCCAACACAGGAAAATCCACGAAATATTTCAGGTTTTTTATTTGAAATGTACAATCCAATCCAATCATATAAAATGTATACCACAGACAAACTTAAGATAATTAAACTGAGGCCGAATTTAAAGAATTTGAGCTACGGCTTAAATTTAAGCCGCGGCTCAAATATTGTTGGTTTCACTTAAACTTGTATTAATTTAAACCGGTTTTTGGTGGATTTAACACGCGACTCAAATTCATTAAATTCGGACACTGGTTATTTTAGACAGAGTTGCTAATTTTTAATCTTTAAAATAAGTTAAGAATGTTCCCTGTGTGCCGAGAGTACGGTCGCAGTTATATTCTGGATAAAGACTCGACTCTCTTCCTCTCCTTCATCCTCTACCTCGTCAACCTGCCCTCCACCATCTAGGTCATCTTCAACCTTTCCCCCAGCAACAACTTCCTCCTCTCCCTTCCCTGCATCATGTCCTTCTTCCCCCTCAACAGCAAAATCCTGCTAAATATACAGCGTCCATCAAGTCATCAACATTTCTTTAAGATTTACTGAATTTTATTAACAAAACAGAATTGTCAAATTACTTTCATTCATCTTTTTTTTGCTTATTTTTATCCTAGAACTTTATGAACCATTCAGAGAGAATTTAATAATCTCTCTTTTTTCAACAGTTAAGATTTGGGGTTTGAGAGTTAAAACAGTTTTATTTGTTTCAGTTTTTGGTAGTTTTTTCCCCCTTGGATCCGGATCCAGAAAGCCAAAATCTTACGGATCCGGATCTTACGTATTAGTGTCCATCCAAACGCCCTATAATCGGTTCAAGATAGCTCTCATCATGGTTCCATTTTAAACATTTACATATTCCCTTTAAGTCAATTTTCAACCAAACCAAACTTTCATAACTTCCTAATTTTTGGTGTTACAGACATCTTATAATTGTTAATAGATCGGAAATTGATTATTGATAATGTTCACTGTACAGAAATGTTAAATTACATATTTAGATTTTAAAAGCTTCTTTAATTCATTTATGAGAAAAAATGTTACTCACAATTTCATGATTTTGGGGGCACTAAAATATTCTTATTTGTTCCGATGCAAATAAGTAACATTTTAAAGTTAATAAACTTATATTTTAACTCGTCTTGTACATTCTGGTGATTTCCTAGTATAAAATTTTTTGACCCCCCCCCCCCCCTCCTTCCTTTCGATTTTGTACATAGATCTCATTTGTAACACATGGATATACTTTGTCAGGTGGCCGCAGCGGCCGACCTTCTCACATGTCCTAACCACAGCACTCGGCCCCCTTATAGTCTGTCCAAGCCGCAGCGCTCGGCCAAGAAATTGTCTTAACCTAACCTAACCCTAAAATAATACAAAATAATTATAACTTTGCTCTAAATTAGTGGTCTGTACAAAATTGATAGGAGATGGAGGGGATCCAAAAATCGTTTACTGGGACTGACCCGTATTATCTTTTGAGAAAATAATGTTTTTGTTGTGATATAAACTTTTCCTGGAGGTTAAAAAAACGACAAAACAATTGTCCCGCATGATAACACAAGACAATTGCATTAGTATGTAGATGTTATACTTTGGTTAAATAAAACTTCTTTTTTTGAGATTTTTTCTGTCTCAGGAGTGTGGGGGACGAAACGAAAAACGAAAGGGGAAGAAGGGGGGGGGGTCGAGAAATCTATAATTAAAAGGAGTAATTTTCGGTCTTTTCTCCGGTCACAAGTGACTCTATCTTTTAGTCCTGGTACCGCCCGGTCAATGATTTGTGTGTAAAGCTATATTCGAGCGGGAAAGGGGGGGGGGGGGGGCAAGGTCACGTGGACCGAGATGGTCAAATTATGTTTTTCAAATCTATTTATTGTTCAAACTGCACAACGAACAGAAAAAGTACTGTATATATATAAATATATCTTTCAACATGTACATTCTGATTTATAAGTTATTTTAGTAAATGTTTAAATCAACATAATAATTAGGAATTGAATAGGTAGCAGCAAAATTGAAGAAAAAAACAGTAAATAATTAAAACAATGTTCCGACCAAAAATAATGTTCAAATAAGCATGGCTTAACAGGCACTTATTTGAGGGCGCGAGAGGGCAGAAAAATGAATGAAATTTTGAAAAAATTGTCAAAATTCTAAGGTTGACCCACTCAACGCCCCCCCCCCCCCACTCCCTTAATTTTTTATAAGAACTAGATTCCAAATGTTTATTGAAAATGATGCAAATAATTGATATTATGTAAATTGTTATACTAGAACATAAAATGTTACAAATGTTTCGCGTGTTTTAATGGGTGGGGGGAGGGGACAAATGATCCAATTAATTCTGTAATAATTAATCTTTTCTTCGAAGATACGATTTTTTTCTGGGAGGAGATATTTTGAGTCCGTCCCTGTATAAGCAACATTATCCATGTATTAAAAATGAGATGCATGAACAAAATTGATACGAGGGGGACGAGGGGCGGGGGGTCCAAAAATCCTTCTCTAGGAAATGACCGATATTTTCACTTTACCCTATTGCGAGCTATGTCTATGCGGCCACCATTCCCACCATACCTTGTTTGATATTTTTTCTTCTACATCAGTACTTGACATTTTCATATCGAAAAATATTTTCAACTTTTTTAATTTCACTGATTATTAGCTATTTTCAGGGGTTAAACAGTAGACATGTTTTCCAATTCTAATAGAAAAATAATCAGCAATTCGACCGGCGATGTTTTATTGGAGAGATTGCCAGCAAATACGCGAAGTTGCCGCGAAATATTTCTGAGCTGCGAAGTGAAGGCCGTTCTAATAAAGAAATGCAATACACTGGTGTAAACCCTAAGGGTATATTTACACTGGTGTATTTGTGTCCCCCGGTGTAACCACAAAATGCAAAAAATTTAAGATTTCCAACTTTAAAATTGAATGCCAACATAAAAAGGCGATTTATTTAATTTAGTATTTTTGAAATTCTTTTTGGCATTGATATATTATTAGAAGTTAAAATCATTAAAATGGTTATTGGTCTTATGAGAAATCATCCATAAAATATTCCAAAAATATTAATAAAATTTAATAATAGAATTATTAAATGCTTTTAATTGTCTGAACTATTAAGTTCTCTGCATGGTTTTCTGGTCTCTGTTTACCCTGGGTAAGTCAGAAAACACAGGGTGGACCCAGTGTTTTCATTTCTTGACACTGGTGTAAATCTACCCAGTGTAAACTGTACGTTGTTGTTGTTTGAACCAGTGTAATTCATGACTATTAAATCCGATCCTAGGTAAACACCAGTGTAAATGACAGTTTACACTGGTGTAAATCCTTTATTAGAACGGCCTTGAATAGAAACAACTTGTTGAATGGTGTTGTTTAGGACCTACACAAATCAGCTATACTCTACTTCTGACCAACGCCAAATCCGCTATACTTCACATCCGACCTACTGGCACGTGGTTTTACAACTGCTTCATAGACTTGTGGCCGCAGCGCCTGGCCCAAAGCCTGTTTTATAGCTGAGGCGCTCGGTCCCCAAGCCTGTCCTAGCCGCAAAGCGGCACATGAATTGTCTTAATTCCCAACCTAACCCTCAAATAATACAAAAAGAAAGAGCTGGTGTAGGTCCGATATTGCAGTAGGTCGGAAAGTTAGTAGGTCAGTCATTCATAAGAATTCAGTCAGCCATAAGAATTCAGTAGGGGGTCCCGGGGTTTGTTGCAGCTGTTGCAGACGGTGTAACATGTTGAACTTGACCCAAGAAGAAGCTGTCGAGTGTCAATACCTTACACGTCACTTCACACTTGTTCACTTCGCAGCAGCAGCTTTAACATTTCAATCAGATTCAATTTAATTCAACTAGTCTAAATTCAGTTGCTGAGTGAGTTGGCACTCTTGGCACACATTAATATGAACGTTGGTTGCAAGGTTTGATTTTTATGAATGAATTATGTATATTGTATATCTTGTTTCTAAATTTTATTTTTTATTTCTGAATCATTAATACCATCCAACGTGTTCAGCTTCAGGCATCTAGCTTAATTAGTTTTTACTTTAATATAGCTTTTTGTTACTTAAGAAGACTCGGCCCCCTATTCATATTTCATGGCTATTAATTTACCTAGAATTAAAAATAAAAAGATTTTTTAGAATTATACATTATACAAAACTCTTGCTATGTCTGCCCTAGCCGCAGCACTCGGCCCTGAATTTTTTTTAAATATACTGAAATATACTGAATACTTAATTTAATTTTGATTAAATTAGTATTTACAAAATTGATAGAAATGGGGGGCGGGGGGTCCTCAAATCTTACTCGAATAGGACTAAACCCATCAAGAATATATATTGTCTTTAAATATGTTGTAACATATTCAGGAACTCGATGCAGACTTTTTTTCATAAATAATTACACCTGATATACTTTGTACCATTCGAACCTTCAGTTTAAAAATCCATTACTAGGAAATTACCTAGCTTTTAAGAGTACCTTTGTGAATCGTACTTTTCCATCTTTGTACATTGGGGGGGGGGGGTCACTTGAAATTCCGCTCACTTAAAGATTTAAACCCCCTCCCCCCCCCTCCCAAAAATAAATCGATAATTTTAACTTATTTTTTTTCAGTTTTTGATTAGAAGAAAGAGCTGAGAACATTATGGAGACAACTTCACTTGCTTGTGCTAAATGCAATCATGTTGCAATGGATCTTTCTGATTTTAAGAGACATAAAGTAAATATGCATGAAATCATCATGTATCGATGTGACCAGTGTAAATTTAGAGCTACATTAAGAAAGGATTTTAAGAAACATATGAAGAAACATTCAGTGGATAAATATCAATGTGACAAGTGTGAATATGCAGCAACTTCAATAGGTAGACTGAAGACGCACAGAGAAACCTGGCATGGAGTTAAATGCAAATGTGATCTGTGTGACTTTGAAGCAACATTAAGAACAGATTTAAAGAAACATATTGAGAATAGTCATGCTGAACATCCATGTGACCAGTGTGACTTTTCAGCAACTACAACTCCTAAACTAAAGTTACACAGAGAAACTGTCCATGAAGGAATTCAATACTCATGTGATCAATGTGTATTTGTAGCAAAAACATTAAAAAGTTTAAATATACACAAAAAGATTCATAATGAACCAAAGCCTAAAAAAATTGAAGAAAAAAATACCTGTCATATTTGCGAGAAATCATTATCATCCCCTATTTCATTAAAAAATCACATTAGAACACATACAGGAGAAAAACCTTTTTCGTGTGATATTTGTAGAACAGCATTTTCAGTGAAAATAAAATTGGCACAGCACATGATGATTCACAGAGGGGAGAAACCATTTACCTGTTCCATATGTGATAAATATTTCTTTGAGTCTAGCCGTTTGTCTAGTCACATGAGAACTCATACAGGAGAGAAGCCTTTTAAGTGTATAATATGTGAGAAATCTTTCGGGCAATCCAGTGGGTTAAACACTCATATGAAATCCCATTCTGGCGAAAAACTCTACACCTGCTCTTTTTGCGAGAAATCTTTTTCCACAGGGGGTGGTGTAAAATCCCATGAGAAGATTCATACTGGAGTAAAACCCCACAAGTGTGCCATCTGTTTGAAAGAATTTCGGTTTTCTAGCAATTTGGATAATCATATGAAAATCCATACTGGGGAGAAACCACACATTTGCTTGATATGTAATAAATCTTTTTCATTATCAGGTCATTTGTCAAATCATATAAAAACTCATAAAGAAGAAACTCTATGAACTTTTTCTGTTTCAGTAAATCATTTTCACAATAAAAAGCTTTTCCAAAGCACATAGCAACCTAAACCTACATAAATGCACAAAATTATTTTCATTTAGTTGAGATTTTTCAACCAATCACAAAAAAACTTAAAATTAATATAAAATTTAATATTTTATTTCTTTATATTGCTAGCTGCCTTTTTGTAGTATGTTTGTATGTATGTATGTATGTTTATATCACTGTATAGTTGTGTTATTTTTATTAAAATAAGTTTAAAAACCTTATTACTCCATTATTAGCCCTAAATTGTCGAGTGTTATTCATATTCTGGTATAGTCTGTAAAACATTCATCCAATTTATTTATTGCATTTAAAAACGCGTATTTCCTTATTATTAAAAAGGTGTCATTTCTACGAATGCTATTGGTATGGTGCCAATTCTTCATCAAATTTAATTCCAATAATCTTGATAAATCCTTCTTGAGACTGCACCCAGTCTGCATTTAGAATTTACAATGTTAAGCTGGTAATTCAGCCCGGTACTTGAAATTAATCGGAGTTTTGCACTGTTAGTCTAACGAAAGAACGTTTTTTTCGAACCAAATGAAAAATAAATCGGTTTTTCCTGAACTAACGATTTTACTGAACAAACCATCTCAGTGAACAAATGATTTAATCAACGACCGTTTAGTTAGAAACCGAATGAAAAAGATGGAAAATAAACAATCATTCTAGAAAACGAACGAATTTAAATATTTACCATGAACGACTGGAATGGGCAGACAACGAAAAACTTTATTTTTTTGGGACACGGGCAAAAGCTGCTTATTTTATTTATTGTGAACAAATCCTTGTGTTTTTATGTTTTCAATCAAAATGTCAGATAGTAAAAACTAAATCAGGTCAAACTTGTAAACAGTAAAAAGTAATAAAAACCAAGTAATATAAAATTCAATATAAAATATGCAGGTCTCCTTTTTTCCTCAGTAATCAGGAAGGCTTGTCGTCATCATTCTCTCTTTTCATTAAGAAATTGTGCTATTGGAATGTAGTTTTTTTATTCTCCGACTTTGGATTTGGCCCAGAATTTGGGATGCAGCGCTCGGCCTGGAAATTATCTTAACCCATTCTTACTATTTGGAATTATGTCATATTGCACGTTTGTCGTGTTTTCTTTCCTTATACAGGGTGTCCCACGAACATGACAATTGATAAATACTTTAGAATGTCTTCTTCCATACAATGTGTTAGATATTAAAGGCTGTTTGCAGTTTATTTCGTTTGCACTAACACATTTTACTTTGAAGTTAATTTTACTATAATATGACTCCAAAATAAATTATGTAGAAAGGCATTCTAAACTATTTACGAACTGTCATGTTTTGTGGGACACCCTGTAGTCTTTGGACACCGGGTCGTTATTATATCATAGGTCGCTCCGTTATACCTTTTATAACCAGAGTTAGAGGCATTCGGTTTCTTCTATTTAAAATCATACGCGTTTTGGTTTAAATTTCAACAATCTTTAAACTTACGGATTTGTTTGTGTATTTATTCAAAACGTATATGCCGGAAAAAAAGTATTTAAGACAGAAGGCTGAGAAATTATGTTTAATTGGAGAAATTGTGATCGAAAGTTTCTGGAATATTGACAGAACCATTATAATCCACGTGGCCGGTGAACCTGTAATTTGTAACTATTATAACTTATATATAATGTCTAAATCTTCATGTTTAAAGGTATTAAGATTCACATCTCTCTCTATATATAAATATATATATTTATAATATATTGCATTAGCAAATCCTGAAATACATTAAATGTTTTAATTTGAATCCGATTGTTTAAATAATATATATGTTTATGTATAAATATGCCAAAGTTTCATATAAGTTTAAAAAGCTGAAAAAGTCAAATAGATCCTTAAGTACCATAGGTGGCAACAGAGAAATGGATCAATGATACACAACGTCACAAGTGTCAAATATAACAAGAAAAACTAAATTTTTACATTAAAAAATGTAAAAACAGAAAATAAATAACATATAAAACTGCACTTGTTTTACTGTGAGATAAGCACTTCATCCTTAAATAATCACTTTTATTAATAATTTTGTCGGACACAAAAGCTGAGATAACACTTGTGACGTCAGAATACAGCTGTACTAAGAGTGTACAAATTCTACGTTGCCATCTATTGAACTAGAATCTATTTGGAAAAAGTAAAATCAAATGATCCATTAATAAACACTAAACCTCTCTCCAACCCGGAAATCAATCTTTCACAATAAATATCATCAACTGTAATTTCTAGTAACTCTTCATTTAAATAGAGGCATTCTACATTTACAAGAGTAACCTATAAACCTGTAACAGAAACGAAATAACCCTGAAATCGCCAGGTGAGGGATGTGCAGTTGCCCCTTTCCATTTCGATCATTAAAATAATCTAATTATGACTGTTGAAGCTGTTGAAAAAACAGTTGAAACCATTTTTGGAAGTTGAAACGTTGTTGCGCCCCAATGTTTTTCTCACAGGGTGACATCCTCAAATTTTACAGGGAGGTTGTTTTTCATAAAATAAATGTTAAAAGTTTTGAACTGAATTGAATAATATTTGTAAAAAACTGAACTAAGAGAGAGCACCGGCCTTGATGTTCAATGTACTGTTTTATGTTATTGCCTTCTCTATCTTTCTATCTTTCTATTATATATATATCTCCCTATAGAATTTTTGTATCTTTCCATCTTTTTTTTCTATCTTTCTCTAATCTTTCAATCCTACCACCTTTGTATCCTCATTTTTCAGTAATATATAGAGGGATATGTTAATTAGTTTGTATTTTTCATAAAGAATTATCTTTCAATCAAGATATCTGTACCTATTTCAGCATTATTTCTAATTTTCATTCATAATTTTTTCTTTTTTTATAATTTCCCAGTATTTCCTCTTCTTCTTTATTTCTGTTTCTCTTTTTTATATTCTTCTTTTTCCTTTTCTTTCTTACCATATTTCTCTTTTTATTGCAAAGTTATATTTCTCTTTATCTTAATTTGATGTTGGAGACTTTAATTTTTCAAAATATGAATTCAGTTCGATCAAATAGTTTCAGTTTAAAATATCAAAGGTTTACGTCATCAGGTTGCAAAATATATACTCTTTGTTTCACTATAACTTTTAAATGTTTTGTCTATCTATATAATAAAGCTCTTCGTATTTTTGTATATATTTATATATATATATATATGTAAACTGGGAGGGCTAAAAATATTGTTTATTAAATTCAGTTCTAGTCTTTCATAATTCAATATCATCATCACTGCGAACTAGAAAAAATTGGAGGTCAACTTTAATCCGAGGTTACTAGGGCGACTTTGTGACCTCGCCTACCTCTAGTTTTGATCTTACACACACGCCATAAGTATTAGAAAAACAAATAATTCGGTTAAAATTCAAAAAAAAATGACTAATGCCAATTAGCAGCGAATAGGCTGTTTAGTTTACCCTGAAATTACCTAAATGAGTGAACGGTCCCTTTAAGTTTGGCGTGTATTTGAATCAATTTGCCAAGTTATTAAATATTTTCGTGAGTGTATATTAACCTGAATGAAGTCCTATAACGAAATTAATAAAAAGACTCCAATGTTCTTTTCTAAATAAATACTTTATTCCTCTAGCTCAATACTCGGCTAACAAAGAGGAAGTAAATGCAAAATATTATACAAGAGGGAATAATGCTCAGCTACAAAAACTAAGGGTTGTTTAACCCAATTTCGATCACAGTGCGTCATAAAAATTAGCATGACCTAGGGTTTATGTTGTTTATTTGAACACTATGCATGTCTAAAAAAAGGATGAGGTCAAAAATTATATTTCCTATATCTTCGCAACCTGATGGCGTAAACCTTCGGTAATTCAATATTAGATTATTTTTCCTAACAGATTTCATAAGGTCTACGACATTGGGTTGCAAAGATATATGAATTAGAGCTGGAGACAAAAACTCGGTTCCTTTTTAACTCACAAAATTTGGGTTCAATGGAAATATAAAAGAATATTTTATAAATGTATTTCACCTAAAATTTTGTGAAGGTTCAAAATGGCAGTAAACACAGTTAACGAGATTATAAACCAAAAGGTAACTAAGCATAAAATAGCATCGTTTTTTCCTTCAGGGAGAAATAAGATGGTTCACCCTCTCAATTAAGCTGTTGGTGTGTACTGAACTCATGTACAGTACTTTGAGCAGAGAAATAGTGTGTCTAAGTGAAGAGATGGTTTTGGTTGGCGAAGATTCTAAAAGTCACTTTGAAATAGTGTCTTTTTAGATTTAAGAAAAAAATGACTTTTTAATTTTGTGAACAATTTTTAATTAGAAAAAATAAATTATGAGAAAGAGCTTGACTGTAAGTAATGGTAAAAAGTAATGGTTTAAGGCAAAAACAAACCATTTCCCCTATAATGAACGGTTTCTATAAGGCAGAAACCGAGCATTACTCCGATGCTCGGTTTCAAGGGCGAGAAAGTGTTAGAGTTCCCCTACTGTTAAATCAAACTATTTTTGAAATGTAAAAAATGGACAAATGGACGGTTTTCAGATGTTCAAGATGCAACTTTTAATTGAAAAATTTGAAATATGGACCTTCCCTTAAGACCTCTGTTATTTTAAATCGTTTATTACTGAATGAGTTTTGATTTTTCAATTTTTCTTTTATACTTCTAATTTCTTACTGTTTGATATTTTATTATTCAAGAAGGATGTCAAATTTTCGATGAAATAGTTTCACCTTTACTGTAAGCATAAAGTGATAAATAAAGAATATATATTAAATTAATGGAAAAGCATCCCCCCTCCCCCCTCCCCCCCGGCCTGTCAGGATAGATTACCCTAGAGGTTTGGGACCTCAGCAAAAACTATTCTGGTTTCAGAACCAATACAATTCTATATCTTCTCATATATCTAAACACAACCGATGAGGGAGGGAGGGGGGCAGTAGGGTTACCCCCCCCCCCTCTCTCTCTGATGCCATATGCCACTTTTTTCTTTTCTTTTAAATATTGTGTACCTTGGACTGTGATTTAAAGGTCCCACACTCTCAAGCAAAAATCTATGAGAATTTTGCCAATTGCTTCTTAAAAACCAACGCTAACAACAAGTGCTCCATAGTGCTGAAATGTACATGTAAAGGGCTACAGAAAAGCAT